ATTCATTTGTTGTTCTTGTCCTGTTGAGTTTACATCTGATTCTTGTTCAGAATCACTTGCATTGACCGTATTTGTTACATTAAATTTCACAGCAACTTTTTCATTACCTACATCACGAGTTAATGTCACTTCTGGACCGTTTGTTTGAACCTAAAAAAAAACCGAAATCATACAAAAAAAAGCAAAAAAAAAAGAATGAACCTGAAAATTAGGAATGATTGGTAATTGGCTTGGATGTTTTTGTGCACTTTTCTCTAATTGAATTTCTTTTTGAAGAAATGTATCCAAATCACGATAAGCATTATTATTTGTTTGTATTGATGCAAATGTTCGTATTGGTGCATAACATTGAGTTATTTGATATGACTTTCGCTGAATTGAAGAATATAAACGTTGATTTATATTCGTAAGTTTAGTAAATTGAAATAAACTTCTTGTAAGATTACGAAAAGCCATTTTAGAATGTTATCTAGAAGAAATTTTCAAATAGTAGATTTACATGTTTGTCGGTTGGTTTATTTTAAAGTAATAAATCTTTCTGATTCAGTTTAGTAAATGATTTACATCAAGGAGGTTACACATAGAGGGCGTTACGAAACAAAATCATTGGTTTTTTCTATTCTATATTGTTTATTTTTTTTTTCTTTGTTCACTTAGTGCTAACGAGCGATAACCGGGTCATTCTTGCAGTCTCAAAATTTGATCTAAACTAATTACATTAAATACTAAATATGTATGTGACGTTTTATGTAGTAAAGATGTTATAAAGTTTTAATCTATAGGGCTAATACTCATCCAACGATCAAATGGGGTCAAAAAAAGGATCATATTTTATTAACAATTGCTGTACAAGATATTGATAAGCCGGAAATTAATATTGAACCAACGAAACTTCATTTCAAGTAAGAAGATGCTAATTTCATTGAATAAAACAATTATTCTTTCTTTTTCTTCTTTTGATTTTAGAGGACAACAAACAAAAGGATTAAGTTATGATACAATACTGGAATTTTTTGAGGAAATAGATCCAAAAGTAAGTTTGTTCTGTTCATATAATAAAGAATAAACAGTATGTATTCTAAAATGCTTTTGGAGATAGATCATAACGAAAAAAAAAGTCGGTTGCAACTTGTGTAAACTATGAAACAGGTGCTTTCATCAAATATTTAAGCCTCCTCCCTCCCGAAGAAAAAGTCAATTATCGAAGTAAAAATAAATGCATCGGATGAGATCTAAGAGATCGCAACGTTCCGAAGATCAGGTTGCCCTTTTCAAAGTTTGTTGTTCGCTCTGTTGAAGTTTTTAATCTTTAATTTTTCGCATTGACTGCTTGAAAAATATACTTTTTCTGACTGTACATTTCAAAATTCTTCAAGGAGCTTCATTGTAGCTTATTGCATTTTGTTGTTTGAAAGAATACGTCAAGATGCAAGACATGACTAAGTGTCTTTTTAGTCAAGTTTTACTATTATGTAAAAGCGCACTTTTCATAATTAGAGCGCCATTTTTCGAGATATGAACTTTTACTCTCCTTGTTAAAAAAAGACTTCTTTCATGGCCTTCTTCCTGACACGCTTCTTCAAACAAAAAAAAACAAATTAAATATAACAGATGAAATTTCACTGAGAATTATGGATTGCTAAATGAACTTTTTGACTGTTTTTTGTTTAATATTTCCCGAAAATGTCATGATATAGGGCTGAAAATTTCATGCAATTTGAATGTATCTGACTCGTGATCGACTTTTGAGTGGTGGAATTTAAACATCTTGAGAAAGATAGAATATTAATCCTCATATCTGCTCTAAATATATAAGTAAAAGAGAACTAATAGTTTTTTCTTAAATGTACAATCAAATAAAATTCAAAGATCTCGAGGCTTTTATTACATAAAAGCTCGTTCAACGTTGTAATGTACTTGGTACTGAGTTTAGTTAAGTAAATGAATCTAAAGTTAAGCATTACCTTAGCCTGTTTATTGTCTTTCTTGTAGAAGAGTTTTTTCTTACAGATGGTTAAAGAAATTTCATAAAACTGATCTGTATTCTGGTAAATTAAATCAAAAGTTTAAAACAAATAATATGAGGAACAAGCATTAAAATTTATTGTCTTATATCTTTTTTAGACATCAAAATATCGTAAAACAAGTCAAAACTATTGGGAATTAATGTTGAAAAAGAAAGATTCAACAAAACCATTCTGGAAACGATTAACTAAATCGGCTGAAAAAGTATGTTAAAAAACATTTTTTATTTTCTAATTACTTTCTTTGTTTTAGTGTTCATGGATTGTCGTCGATTGGAATCATTTTACAGCGGAAGGTAAATATGAAAATCAAAAAGCAAAACAAAAAAAAATTCGTTTTTTCTTTACTGTCAGGTGACGATGAAGATGAAATGGATGGCACTGGTGGTAAAGATTGGGGTGATTTAGGTAAATAAATTTTCTAAAAAGAAGTTTTTTTTTTTTATTAATTATTATGTTTTAGATGGTATGTTTAAACAAATGGGTGGTGGTTTAGATGGTACATCAGCACCTGATCTCAACGATCTTGATGAAGAAGGAACAGATAGCGATGATGAACCAATGCCGGATCTTGAAGATGTACCGAAAACTGATGATGAAAAAGCCAAATCTAATGTAACAAATGAACAAACTAAATAAATGAATGCTCTCTTTATGTAAACACAGACTCGCACACGAATTGATTAGCGCGCTTTTATATAAGAGCATGTTAAATATGTGTTCATGGTTATATCTACTGTAAAACTGTTGTCATACATTTTTTTCATTGTTCTTGTTATATTTGCTTCTCAGTCAATGTTTAAAAAAAAAAAGAAATGTGTGTGCTATGATTTGTCGTGTATGAGAAAAAAATAAAACAGTATGAAACATGAATTCAAATCTTTTTCTTTTCTTTAATTTCAATAATTCATTGCCTAAAAAAGAAAACACTTCATTTGTTAACAAGAATTTTCATTCTTTTGTTTTACGAAAAAAGATGAGAATTTCTTTTTTAGAAAAGTTTATATATATAAATAAACGTCTTGAATATGAAGTTTCTAAACATCTGATTAATTTTTCAAGACTTTCATTCATCTTTCTATGATAAAAATCTTATGTTTATTACAGAAACAAAGTGTTGATGGGTTGTAAAATTTGCTGTCATAGGTAATGATATGAAAGATATTGAATTGTATTAGTTATTATACAATACTGATTTTGTTCGATATTTCATTTAGTAGATTACTGAAATATTATATTTCAAGAGAAAGATATGCTTAGGTCAGTTTTATTTTCAGACTCTTTATTTGAAATCATTATGATCATGGGCAACATAAAATACTGCAAGTATGTGTCAGCAAAATTCAAATGCTTCTTGGTATACAAATCACATGATCCATCTAAAACATCGATATAATAGGTGAGTTGGCATGCTTTTCAATTAATAACAATGACAGTAGTTAAATATATTTAAATTAATCTGAAATTCACAAGTTAGGCATACTTGTATTTTTGCAACATTGTAAAACCTCTATTCGCAGAAAAGACCTTGGATAGAAGTAGATTTTCTCTTTCTAGTGTTTTTATGTTCTATGAAAGGATTATAGACTTCATGCTTTAATAATAATCCTTCGACTTTGAGCAAAGAAATGAACTTATCAAATTGGGGTTGTTCTTGCTTTGGATAAATATAAATATATTACTCTTGTCTCATATTAAACACTTATATAGTCATATTATCTTATGGAAACAAACCCATAGGATCAGCTGGTATGATGAATTATGGAACAATAGTTCCCACAAAGGCTCTCAATTCATAAGATCAACAAATTAAAACACAAATTTCATTGAATATTAGAGTCTATCGGATTCAAAATTTTTGGAAACGAATCTGAGACCAATCCGAAGGGCTCAATTGAGTATAGAAGGAGAAACGGTAGACTCTATATCAAAGTATAAAAAAGAGCTATTGATTTATGTATTCATCTGAATAATAAGATAGGACTGGCAGATAAAAGGGAAAATGTATGGAGAATTTGAAGAAACGTAATATTCTTTAACTATTCGCTCCTTTTTTTTGATCAAGTTTCCCAAAAATTAGCACTCCGAACAAGATGAGCAGCTCACACATGCTGATCATATTTTGATAAAAAATTTATCAACGATCATGCACCTCAAATAATAGACCGATCGAAACCACAAAGTTAAAGGAAAAACAAACAATAAAAACTCGACTGATTTTGAATGCAAGAGTTTTAAAATGTTAACATTAATTCTGTAATAAATTCTACGTTGTCTATGAAGAATCATCGTTTCTTCCAATGGTAAACAAGTCGATATATATATATATATAGAAAGAACTAAAAGCGAAGCAACGATTAGTTTTCTGCACATATCTGTATACTGAAAACACCCCTCAGTATTTGTCATAGTAAATCCTGACTGAAATAGAGAAAAGTTTTTACTTACAATGAAACAAAAAGATCGATGTAAATCAAATTAACAAGAAAAAGTAACTTTAAAGCTTCTAAATAGTATGCATGTTATTGAATTCTGCTTGTAAAAGTAACTTTCAATCTTTTAATTGTATCAGATTTCAAGAGGTTTATCTGTATCATGATAGAAAAAGAGTTCAAGCGTACAAGCTGAAAAAGCCTACAATATTTGTTCCATATGCAGATCGATCCAGGCCATAATTTGATTTCCTTAGCATTGAGATTTTTGTAAAAATTTATGAAAATAGAAAAAAAAATGTTACACAGATATATATATATAGATATTTTCTATTTCTGGAAAACATCGGATAATTCATTCAACAATGAGAAATATTATTTGTTTCGCAAGATGCTTGTTCATTTGAATACTTTATTTAAAGAATATTTACATATAATCCTTCGTTTTTGGCATAGTTATTATGGAAATCATAGTGTATTTTCTACTGTTCAATAAAGAAAATAATGATTATTTCATTGTTGTTGCTGTTGAAAACAAATTTAATTATAATACAGAAAGATCACCATTTTTAAGTTTATTGATACTATTAAGTAATTTTAAACGAGGTCCCAATTGCATTTTGAAAACACTACTAAGATGTTCATCTTCTAGAAGAACAAGAGCTGCTCCATCGATTAAATGTTCTTTGATTATGGATGCATAACAATTCTTTCCAAGAACATTTTCGAAAAACGAACATACATCATCGATCTAAATACACAAGAAAAACATCTACTGCAATTTTTCTATCGTCTCAGCTAGATTTCGAAGGATCATTCATACATCTACTAACCAAAAACAAAAAGAATATGTTAGAGAATGGACGATCAAGTACACGTTAAGTCACAATATGAAGCAGACCGTCTCGTTCGTTACTCAGTAGTCTTACTATTATCTTCAAGCATTCGATAGAATTTTTAGAACACAAGAATAACTCTTAATTTCAGCAAGCTAGTGTCCTCAATTTAATTCCTTAAAAGACTATATCATACCATTAGGCTTATACTAAGCAGCTCGGACTCGGTCTGTCTCGATTTATTTTGGTGTCAATCTTCTAAATTTTATGTTTTCATAAACACTTCTTTTTTGTTATACGTCAATAGTGCTGTGTTGTTGCAGTTGAAATTCATTCTTATACAATAACAAGCGTACTCAGAGTAAATACAGTTTAAGACTCTGTCTGCATATACAGTAGTTACTATATGCCAGCGATAGGAACATATCGACTTGTAACATGAAGATTGGCTGTCTTTCTCTATAGATATTTCTTTATTTTTAAGAAACATTGATTAGTTAGAAAAGATTATGCGAAGAAAGTCTTTCTATCAAGAAAGACAGTGTAAAACGATACATCTGTCCATCAACTGAATGAAAATAAAAGAAGATTTCAAGAAAACATTGTCGAGAAACAGTATCTCGAGTTACATAGTTTAGATCCGAGTATATGCTGGAGTCTTCGCGAGCCACTCCGATATCCATACAAGCCTACAAGCAACAGGTTAAATTTCATTTCTAATAAGCATCGATGAAGATGAAGATGATAGTCAGTTTTTCAGTTCCCAGAGTTAGCCAATAAAACTCCGACTAAATTACTCTAAAATGATAGAGGGAACGATTCTCCACAACATGAAACATCTTTTAGCTCTCTACGATGTTTTAAAGTCGTTTTTTCTTTTGTCATNCTTCTTTTTTGTTATACGTCAATAGTGCTGTGTTGTTGCAGTTGAAATTCATTCTTATACAATAACAAGCGTCCTCAGAGTAAATACAGTTTAAGACTCTGTCTGCATATACAGTAGTTACTATATGCCAGCGATAGGAACATATCGAATTGTAACATGAAGATTGGCTGTCTTTCTCTATAGATATTTCTTTATTTTTAAGAAACATTGATTAGTTAGAAAAGATTATGCGACGAAAGTCTTTCTATCAAGAAAGACAGTGTAAAACGATACATCTGTCCATCAGCTGAATGAAAATAAAAGAAGATTTCAAGAAAACATTGTCGAGAAACAGTATCTCGAGTTACATAGTTTATATCCGAGTATATGCTGGAGTCTTCGCGAGCCACTCCAATATCCATACAAGCCTGCAAGCAACAGGTTAAATTTCATTTCTAATAAGGATCGATGAAGATGAAGATGATAGTCAGTTTTTCAGTTCCCAGAGTTAGCCAATAAAACTCCGACTAAATTACTCTAAAATGATAGAGGGAACGATTCTCCACAAAATGAAACATCTTTTAGCTCTCTACGATGTTTTAAAGTCGTTTTTTCTTTTGTCATTTCGTATGACTGATATATCTTGGCGAAAAAACATCATAGAGAGCTAGAATATGTTTCATTTTGTAGAGAATCGTTCTTTCTATCATTCTAGGTTATTTGGTCAGCATTTTATTTTCTAATTCTAAGAGCTGAAAAACTCTGTGTTTGCGTTCTCTTGGAAAACTACCAATCGCCATCATCTTCAAAAACTCTTATTGAAAATGAAATCCTCTATTCAAATCACTATTTCAGTTCTTATTAGTGTTTATGACAATGAAAAAGACATCGAAAATAAACTTGATCGAATAATTTTGAAAGTAACTGTACAATAGATGCTTATTATACTTTTATATAAAGAAATTAAAAAATCAGTAGATTATACTTAGAGAAAACATGATTTAATGTTCCTATGAAAAAATAACTTACAGTCCACTGGTTAACATTTCCCGATGAAGATGAATGGGAAGTAACAGATTCGTTAGAAATAAGTTTTTTTTCTTGATTATCGATTTGTTCTATTGGTGTTGATCGTTCATTTTCTTTTCGTTGAAATGGCTCCGAACTTTCACGTATTATCCAATCACCAATTAGATGAGTTGTTATACTGCCTTTTGATTTGTTTTCGAACATATTATGTTCTTGATTATTTTTAATGATATTAATCGATGGTATTGGTGTTGATTTTACTGTTTGACAATATTCGGTTGGACACACATTGAGTGGAATAAGTGTAGTCGTTACACGAGGAGTAGCTGAAAATTTTTTTCATTAAAAAATGAAAACTAGAGAAAGAACAATTCATTGGTATACATACTAAATGATTTAAATGATGGATAAACAGGTGTATTCTAGAAAAAAAGCAAGTTAATATATAAGTTGATGACGAGCAATAAAAACATGTTTGAAAAGCATATTTCAACCTGTTGTTGTTGATTGATCGATGATGGAGTGATTGCTATTAAAAAATTGAAGATATTTTTTTCATGTGATTCTATAAAAGTATTTACCTGATGGTAAATAAGTATTAATCGGCTTAGAATTGGTATTGATTAGTGTTACCACCGGATTTGGTGAAGTTACTTGAGTATTTTTCCATATAGACGACACAGGAATAATCTTAATAAAGGAAAATTTCAAACTTCAATCTCGTTCAACAAAATGTTCATTTCTATGTTTTATAATAGCTCAATTCGACTACGAACTAGGTAAATATTTATGTATGAAACAACATTCAAATCTGTTTTTCACAATATAATAAAACAAAAACTGTATCTTATCTTCCTTTTTCTGTGACGATTTTTTATTAAATCAATGGCTTCATAGGTTATTAGGAGAGCTTATTAGTTCTCGATTTGAAAGTTCTATTGATCTCATAGATTTTCAACCCAGTAAGATCTACTGAGAAATGTCAAACATTCTATGTTTATTGTAAGCCTTCATATCTTTTATGAAATAAGATCTGTAGAACTCTATAGTATAATCTATTATATGTATAGATGATATAAATTTACTTGATAATTATTGATCGGAATTGAAATTGATGCTGAACCTTTTGATAACGTACTCATACGATTTTTGAGTCGACGATTGAATTTGAAAGGTTTCTTAATGATATCAAGAAGAGAAAAACCATTAGTAGAACGAAATACCCATCAAGAAATAGATTAATACCGTTGGTTTGTTCTTTTTTAATAGTAATGGTGATGACATAAGTAATGTAGATGTAGTTGTAGTTGTACTATCGGAGATTTTCATTTCTTTTTTTTTTCTCTGAGTTTGTTCTTACTTATTTGTTTGAATAGTAATAGACAACGAAGGAGTCTTGTATGTGTATGTATGTTGAGACGAGTTTTTTTTCTCTCCTTCTCTACGATAGAGAAATGCGACGAGTGAGCGAAGAAATTTTTTGCGCCTTTTTTTCTTTTGCTTCTTCTTTTTTTTTTCTCTGTTTGTTAATGGTCGTACGGAGATGCGGCTAACGAAATTTTCTTTTCTCTCCATTAGTATCCAATCGGAACGAAAGAAAAGAGACGAGAGAAGAAGAGAAAAAAACCAAACTTCTCCTTTTTCTTCTTCCTCGAGTCAGTCAATCGAAAACTAGGTCGAATCCTCCACATAGAACGCATTTATTAAGATCACGACATCTATTTGCATTATCGTTCATCAATGACTAATGCAGGTTTATTCTTTCTGTTCTGTTACGGTTTGTTACTATATACATATCCAAGGCTCGTCTCTCTTATCTTGTTACCGCCGAGCTCTTGACTCATGAAATCGAAAAATTTTGTAAATATGGTGCAATCAAGTATTGCTTCAGACAAATAATTGATATAACCTTGAACCTGACGTCAGGAACCTTTTGTCTTTTGTGTCACTAAATTAAATGACATTTTAGACTTTATCTACAAATAGAGTCTTGTTTTCTTGATGCGTTTAAATTTCATTCAAGATCTCTTTTTATCTTTTGAAAGTCTTTTTTCATGTTCTCTTGAATAAATACCATAACTTCATTGTATACATTTGCATATCTATGTTTTTAATGATATTTCGTTGAAAAAAAAATATTTTCAAGTATCAGATTTGTTTTGCTGGCAACTATCATTATCACTGTTTGTCGTTTTAGCATATAATTATATTTCATCTTTTTTGTTTTTTTCGTCTATTTTTATATGCGTCTTTGTATTTTTTGAAGTATAGTATTTTGCAAAAACGAAACCTGAGAGAAAGAAAATAAAAGTTGTTGTTGATGATGAATATAAGAACTTTTCTTTTGATTATGCGGACATATTATTTTATTCAATGAGATTTGTTTTCTTCGGTTCCTGTGTCAAGGTCATAATAATCGTAGTGTTGAAAACGAGAAAAAACACAACAAGAGTGCATATAGCCTATTAGTAGCTTTTAATGAGGAAAATAAGAAATATTTTCTTTCAGGCATGATTGAATCGAATGGTTTTTATTTACGTTATTTAAGTTGTTTTATTTTATAATAATTATTGAATCTTAGATTATTTTTTTTGCGAACATTAAAAACACTGGAAAATATTTCTTAGATATAGGTCAATATTATTCATAATACTGAATAGAAAGCAAAATTGCGTTTGTAAAATTACTGATGCAGACGTGGCAAAGACACGTCAACGTTAATGCTCATCGATAGCAACCTTTTTTCATATTCTATGCTGAGAAAGGTAAAGTAAAATTATGACGAACAATTACGAAATATTTTGATAGAAGTATATTTGTCTGTTCTAGTTTAATGCTCTCTCTCTTCTTTCTCTCCTATATTTGGTAAAAAGGAAAACGTAAATAGAGATTTTTTTATATAAGCGCCATTTTATTATTAGTTGGGGCCAGTCATTATGCATCATCATGACAATATTCGAGGGGTAAAAGAGAAAAACAAGATTCATTTACTTTTTTATTATTTCTATAAAGTTTATGTACATTGACGACATGAGCTTCTCAATCCGTCATGTCTGTAGGTCTTTCTCTCTTTTTCTTTGATTCAACATGATGTCATCGAGAAGGAAAGAAAAAAAAAAACAACAGGGAAAAAATAAGCTGTAGGCACGCTATATAAAGCAGACTGCAACATCACAGCTATTGTCTCTCATTTGTTTTTACCTACGGTAGAGAAAAGAAACCAACAACACAAAATTATCCGCTGAAGCATTCGATATCATGAACAAATATTTGCGACACATCTACACATAAGTTTTTGTAGGAGAGTGGATTTGCTTACAGTTATTATTCTTACAAATCAAATTCTGAGTATTAGGTATTATAGCCTAAAACGTTCTACTAAAAGAAGGCTCTTTTCGTAAGATATTGTTTTATTTCTATAATTAGCTATTTTTTCAATAATTTATTTATGTAATTTATGGATTGCCATGGTTACCGTTTTGTTATAGAAAAAAAAAATTTTCCAAGTAGAAGTTGACACGCATAAAAAAACGTCTTGAATTTATTGCAGTAATGGTATTCAAATGCAATTACTGTTAACTTTCTTCTCTTTTACAAAAAATCCGATCCTTTTTTTTTTATTTCTTTTGGACGTCGTAAAAAAAGAAGTTTTGATATTACTTTTCTCTATCTCAAATCTTCTTTTTTATTGTTCGGTACTTTGCTGTTTTTGCGGAGTCAAGAAAAACATAAGCATACATCAGGTCAACCTTAATTTTTTTTCTTTTTATTTACTGATAGTTCGCTTTTCGTTTTTTTTTATATGAAATAACAACAAAACGAAATCATTTTCTTTTTTGTTTTTCTGTTTTTTATTATTGGATGTTTTTTACCATATAAGGCAAGAGTAATATGAATACAATTCTCAACTTCTTGAAAAGAAAAATAATCTTATACTATTCTGTTGTATTTCAGATTACAAAAAAAAAAACGTTTATAATAATGTATTTCTTCTAGTCGTCATAGTCGACTAACGAAATCCTATTTGTACTAGCCGAAATAAGGATTGAGTTGGTTAACAAATGCATATGTGTGTATAAGAGGGCGTCCTTTAATAATCAAATACTGTCAACTATTTCAACTTCCACTGCAACCTCATACTCATCATCAAAAACATCAACAACAAACAGCGAAGGGTGTGCAACGAACGACAAAGTGACAAAAAAAAAAGGTGTCTAGAAAAAAGGAAGGAGAAAAAGAAAAAAATTGTGTTTTATATATTCTCTTCATCTACTCGGGTATGTTTCATAGCGGAGAGGAGCACAATCGCACTGTCGACCCTCTTAACGAATTAGAGCATTTATATGAATCAGCAGCAACAAATGAAACGACAAATGCAACAAACACATTCGAACTTGATCAAATCATCCCAGATGGCTTTGACTCGTTCGACTTCAACCTCGACTGTGATTCTGGACGAGGAAATTCTTGGGGATCAAATACAACTACCGGTTTCACTGTCGACGAACCTCAGTACTCCACTACGTTCAGTCCTGAAGACAAGTGGCCTATTTAACAAAGGTAATTCATTTATTAAAATGAAAAGACGTCATAATGAGTTTTATTTTCTTTATTAAATAATTAGATTGGGAATCATCTGACAAGTTGAATGAGCTGTTTACAAATGGCAATGAATTTACACTTCATCGGCTTTTAAGTGACATTGGTGTTAATGATGTGAATTTTGATATGAACGATATAGCTAAATTTGATCCAATGAAATTACTTGATACACGAAGTCTTAGCGAATTTGTAAGTGGGAAAAAACATTTTATTCTTTTTCTCCCTTTTCTTTATGAAATTTCGAAATTACTTTATCAGAGAAAGACAAAATAAGATATCTAAAACAATGCACTCTTTCCTATTTATAGTTGCAGTATGATTCATTGGATCAAATGAATATGTCCAACGATATTAATGCCAATCATATTGATAGTATACTTCCATCTGCAACAGCTTGTTCATCAGGATCATTCTCTGAACTTTGTCCATCAACACCAGAGCAACCAGCAAAAGAAATATTCCATATAGAAACAAATCAATTAAAAATGGAGTCAGATAATTCATTGGTTTATACTCAGTTGGATTCATTTGATGATTTTGTACCTACACCATCAACATCAGCTCCTATTGCACAAAAATTCAATTTTGATCCAAGTGCTTTAGCTGCTTTTGAACATGATTATGGCTTTTTATCAAAACGAACAACAGTTTTTGATACACCATCACCATCACCAACAATTTCTAAACGAACACCAACACGTAGATGTCGTCGTACATCATCTCGACTTCAATCTCGTGCTCAATTGATTGATTTTAATCAAATCTTAAATGAAAATACATGTTCATCACCAACAATATCCGAAGATAGTTCCATATCATTAAAAAGAACTAAAAATCCACGTCATATCCATCGTGCCACAGATATAAAAACAGAAGATGACTTATCATATTATTTGGAAAGACGTCGAAAAAATAATGAAGCATCAAAAGTATCTCGCGCAGTACGAAAACAAAAATTCGGTGATATGGATCTTCGATGGTAAAAAAAAACGAAAACAAAACTGTTTCATTTATTAATATTATTTTTTTTTATTTCAGTGCTGAATATGAACGTGTCAATGTTGAACTTCGTTTGAAAATTTCAACACTTGAAACTGTTACAGCCAGTTTAAAAAATGGTCTGATCCATAATTTTCAACGTAAAGGTGGTGTTGAGCCAAAATTCTAAGCATACATGTATGCTTATGTATGTGCGTGCATTTTTTGTTTGCTCTATTGATTTTTCATTCATATTTGTCAAATATTTAATCATATTTTTCTAAATTTTCAATGAGCATCCTTTCACTTTCTTTCCCGAGTGATTGCTTTTTTATTTCTGTTTAGCTGAGAGGAAAGAAAAGTGCGTTCTGGTAGTATGCAATATATATATAAGTTTTTTTTTATTTTACTACCAGTTGGTGAAGCCCGCACATATATGCGTTCTATTTTACCTTTCGATGGAAAAAAACTTAGAACAAAAGAAAAAAAAAGACAAAAATAGAAAAGTAGACAAAAAAAAGAATTTTTTGTTTCGTTTTTGTTTCTCTTGCTTCTAGTTTTTCTTGTAAACTCAATTTATTGAGAAAAAAAAATCGACAAAAAAAATATGACACATATCTATATATATGTTTGTCTGTCAATGCATTTGTGATATACTTCTTTGCTCTCTCTTTCTCTTGCTCTATATATTGTCATCGACTGCAAGCAGTTGTTTTCGTTACAGTTTTTTGTTTGTTTGTTTTCTTTTTGGTCGTTGTTGCTGAATGTCGTGATTTTTATTATGAGAGCAAATGGGATCATCGAAGTTTTTTGTAACTATGAAGTATCATTAGGCTAAGGATTAACAAATGATTAAAATATTCTTGTTTAATTTTTTTTTTGTTTGTGCTATCGACAGTCTGTCATATCGCATTATACATATGTTTCTTTTATTATAAACAAACAAGATACATATTGAAATAATAAATAAAACAGAATTTAATTATTGAAAGATACATAATTACGACTCTTGCGAGGAAAAAAACATTTAACAACAACTTTTTTCTATAACTCTAAATATCTAACCTAAATATGTATGGTGATTTTAACAGTCAATGAAGTTTTCAAATGAATGCATTCAATATTAGATGAAACATGTAATGAAAAGCTTTCTATATAACGGGATACTATAGTTTACAAATCTTATAGGCTACTTTTTAACAATGTCATGATAAAGAGAACAATGTCAGAGAGTGCCGCATTCTCTACGGTCTTTCCTTAAAAAGTTAAAAGTATTAGAAAAGCCGAAAAGACATTTTTTTTATTCAATTTTTTCATAAATTTCAATTTTTGTAATGGCTTTAACCTTTTAAGGAAAAATCGTAGAGAATGAGATGACCTCTTATTTTGTTCTTTTTAAAGTTGCATTGTTAAAAATTAGCTTCTGAGACCTGAAAATTACCATGTTCAGTTATATAAACAGCTTGCCATCTTAGTTCATCTAATTAGTATATCTGAAATTGAACTAGGTATTCAACTTTATAATTGTTGTTAAACTTTTTTCTACCATTATGAAATGTTTATCAATGAAACATAAAAGAAAAGTTTTTTTTCTAGATGAGTTCTATTGAAAACAGTATTACTCATGATCATATGTATTCAAGAAATTCTGTAAAAGAAAAAGATTGTAATAAAATGAAAAATTTACCAAATAAAAATGATGACTCATTATGTGATGATCATCGAATAGTTCGTAAAAAATGTGATATTCAAACAAATGAAGATCGTAAAGAATATATTCGACGACGAACACTAAACAATTCATCATGTCGAATATCTCGTATTCATTGTCGTTCAAAATTTGATTCTATGATAAAAAAATGTATTGAATATGAAGATTTAAATAGAAAATTAAAATTTCAAGAATTAATTATTGATCAAGTAATTAATCAATTGAAAGAACATTTACGAACATTAGTTCCAAATCATACCAAACAAAATGAATAACATATTAGATGTTTCATTTGTCTTTTTTTCAATTTATCTTCAGAACAAAGAGCATATATAATCAAGTTCAAACGATCGGTCAACTTGTCTCATGAGAGAATTATTTGTTGATAATATGACTATAGTTTCTTTTTTAAACGATGTACATGTTGGTTTTTTGTTTTGTTTTAGTCGATATTTTCTCATATAAAAAATGATAGATTATATCCAGCTGGATATTATTTCTTTCTTTTGCTAACATAGCTATGCTTTAAGTACACTATTGATGATCATGATAAATGGAGGTGATTGAGTCAAGCGAACGAGACGATTGTATATATGCAAATTTTGAATTTCCTCTTCTCTCTCTGTCTCTCGCCTTTGAAATGGACACTTTCATTCATAGTCTAGATCGTATGTTAGTCTGTACTTTATTTTCTCTTGTGTGTTTATGATGGCTTTTTTCTCATATATGTATATGTATATACAAAACGACTGTGTGTGTGCGAACGCGAACGCATTACTCATGCGATGTTCTACACTGATACGAACAGTGAGAGAAGAAAAATCAGAGGAAAAAAAAAGAGCAAAGAAAAGAATAAGGCCACTATACTCTTCGTTGAGATGTTGTATATATATATTGTTTGATGAGAAAGAGAGCGTTCTTCATGCAACATCTGATCTACTAGCTCATTTATTCATTCATATCATACTGCCCAACATGGATATGCTCATTCTTGATCAATCACATATGGATTATTCTCAAACACAACAAACATCATCATTTAATTCACCTGCAATTTATCTACAAGATTTTCGTTCTGAACCATGTCAAGTATGTGGTGAAAATGCGAGTGGATGGCATTGTGGATCAATTACCTGGTAGGTATATGTCTGTCATAGTAATAAATTGATATATTTTGTTTTTTGCGGAAATTTGTTTTAGTGAAGCATGTAAAAAATTTTTTCTTCGATCAGTTAATGAAGAATATCGTAAATATAAATGTATGAAAGATAAAAAATGTATTATTACACGTACTACACGTACTCAATGTCAATATTGTCGTTATATGAAATGTATTGAAGTTGGAATGAAATTATCAGGTAAATATTTCTTTATTATGTACATAAGATATATTTGTTTTTTAATTTTATAATAGAAGGAAGTCCAAATCCAAAAATTGAAGATATTTTTAAGTTGATTCCATGTGCTGTATGTCAACATCCATCATCTGGAATTCATTTTGGCGCAACCACATGTGAAGTAATGATATAAAAAATTTTTTTCCAAAAAAAAATCTATTCTTTTTCAAATTTTTGATCAGGGTTGTAAAGGTTTTTTTCGTCGTACAATGAAAGAACGTACACCACAACGTTATAAATGTCCAGAGAAAAATAACTGTGAAGTTAATACATCAACACGTAGTGCATGTCGTGCATGTCGTTTTCAAAAATGTCTTACAGCAGGAATGTCAATTGAAGGTTCACGTATTGGACGACAATCAAATTTATTTAAACATAAAATGGTTGAAATGCAACGTCGAGGACTAATTCGATCACAATTACGTAATATAATTGCTGCAAATACAAATAATTATCAATTAAATTCATCAAATCGAACAATTAGTCAACAATCAAGAAAAAAGAATAATATCAATTCGACAAATAATAGTCAAAGTAATTAATACTTTTTAAGAGACTAATCATTTTTTGTGATGCTTGACAGAAAAGACGAATGAAGAATCACTATTATTTGGAAAAATATAATGACTTTAGTCATTTTTGTGATAAATTAGGATAGGAAATGAACTAGATGTTGACATAATTAAAATGCAATGGACTCAACTTAGATATAGGCAAGAGAGTTTCGGTTTCGCGAAGACGAGAACGAGTACCAAGTTCTTTTTTGACTGGCACTAGAAATGTGCACGATAAGTTTTTCTGTATAGTGTACCTTGACTGGGAAAATTTTGCTAATGCTAACTCTAATCTATCTTGCAAAGTCTCTACTCTTACCTATCCTATGCTGCTGAGTAGGGTACGGTAACCCTGAACATCTTGAACTGGAGCAAAAAATGACCGGTTCCGCTCATATGTACCTCGATTAGAAAATTATTTTTAACCTCAGCTGAAACCTTCATCGATTGATTTCTCATTGCTACTTAGTTCTTTATAAATGGACGTAGCGACATGCATGGAATGATGCTATTCTATTAATTAAATTTGATAAAACAAAAGCTTTTAATTATCTATCATCGATTGAGATAATATATTACTTGGAAAAAAAATTTGACATTGTAAGAAAGTTCAGTCTCTATTCGTCTAAATCAATACTATTATTTCTAATCTTAAAACTGATGAAAATATTAATTCAATAGTTTTTTCCGCTCATGAATTTGTACGTTACATGTTTTGTTCGCACTACTGCCGATGAACGACTATTGGTATACGATGGCCAGAAGATAGCCGACCGTTTATGTATCACACTGCTGCCAGTTGATTGTCGGCATCGCGCACATTATACCGAACGGTCCATCGACAGCTTTTGTTCGGTTTGAATCACGTGTGACACGACATTTGCGCGCATGACTCTTACGCGCAACGACAGTTCCGTGAGCGACACTACCGCGCACGACACTTCCGCGTGAAATAATTTTTTTTTGTCTATGATAACTTGTTACTTCTTTCAAACTTCATGAATAACGGTTTATGACAGGTTTGGGTATGGCTCTGGCTGTGGGTACGTTTGTGGTTGTAAGTGCGTCTGTGTGGTGTGCGCTGGTTTGTTCACGCGTTTGTGATGGTGGATACCCACACATACACCAACATCCACACTCCATGATTCTGGTTTTTCGAAAACCTGTCATGAACCGTTATTCACGAAGTTTGAAAGAACGAGCAACTTATCGCAGACAAAACAAAAAAATTATTTTGCGCCGAAGTGTCGTTGCGCGTTAGTGTCGCTCGCGGAACTGTCGCTACGCGAGTGCCGTTGCGCGTAAGAGTCGTGCGTGCAAGTGTCATGCACGAAAATGTCGTGCGCGGATATGTTGGCGCGCAAATGTCGTGGAACCGAATCACGTGGATCATCAAAAACAAATGACCGCAATTGTTATATTTTTTCTTATATAAACACTAATTGAATGTTTATTTCTTCTTAGTAATATCGTCATATGATGAACCAACAGTTGTTCTACGCTTAGAAGATAAACTGGAATCTTATGTATTTCAACAAATAATACAAATTGAAAATACTTATATCAATTACTTAAAAGTATATTAAAATCTATGATATTTTTTTTTATTGATTTTGATATTTAAGGAACTTCCATTTTGTTCGAATGAAACAAATGATTTGTGGCTTTCGTGCTTATCTCAATTAAATGAATATACAACAAGAGTTGAAAATTTTGCTTTGAGAATTCCGGATTTTGGTACTCTTAATTCTGAAGATAAAAGTTTACTGATTCATTCATCAACACATTCAGTTATACTTCTATGTCTTTGTTTTCAATCAGCTCGATTTCGAACATTAACAAATGATTCTAATTGGAATTATTTAAATATTTCAACAAATTCTGCATTCGGTCAAAATTTACAACAAAATTTTCCATTCTTTTTCGATATAAATCAATTAACATATTTATTCGAACGTGAACTTCAAATATTAGAACTTGATGATAAAGAAATTGGTTTAATGATTGTTTTACTTATTACTTCTATTGGTATATAAAAACAAAAGATTTATACATTCATTTTTTTATTTTTATTTTTATTTTAGCAAATAGTAAATTAAATGAAATTGAAAAAATTGAAAAAATCCAAGAAAATTATTTTTGTGCTTTATATGATTATATGTCTGGTAAAGTTTAATTATTTTTTATTATTTTAAAATATGATTAACTCATCTTTTTTAGCTAAACGTGGTATTGATAATAAAGATTATTTTATTTTAACAATTCAAATTCCATTTATACACCGTATAAATAGTATAATATCGACAAATATAGTAAATTTCAAGTGTTCATTATCTTATAATACATCTATGTAAATTTTTTTTTATCTTATTGTATTACAGAATTATCTTTAACATAAAAAGTATCTTGTTGTTGTGTTGTTTGATTAAATCATTCATTTAAAATAGTACTTCATATATTCAATAATTGAATTTTGAATATTTTCATTTTTGGAAAAGTTTGTTTTGTTTTTTTCAATATGTTTACCTTTAATATTTTTTTTCCAGTTTATTCTATGTAAATTTTTATGTTCAATATAAATAAAGCGTTTACATGTCACATTTTTACATGAATCAAGAGTGTCAAGACAATCGTTTAGAATAGAAAAGAATATTTCTTTCCTTTTATTTTACTAGCATGTTCTCTTTAATTTAGTTCTCTGCATAAGTAAAGGCTTTATATAACTGAATACAAAGTGACACTTTAGTTTATAATTAAAAATGAAGTCAATCTGACTCGTCATTTTCGGTACAGAAAAATTATAATATTTTTTTAAACTTTGACTCTACATGTAAGAGTATATTATTTTATATTATAGGATGAACAATAATAAAAAAGTAATTATTGGAAATTAAATAAAAATAAACGGGCTTGATATTATAGGATATAATTACTGTCTGCTAGAATTCTAATATATTCGTTGATTGTATATAAATAGTTCAAATAGACGATGGAATCTATCCGCCTATTTGTCATATTTTTAATTTTTCCAAGGTTTCAATCAAAAAGTTTTTTTTTTTTTTAATAGTAATAATAAACAATGGAATATCTTTACCTTTCGAACATGAGAAATGTTTGGTTTTTTTATCATTTTCACGACGTGCTTTCATTATTCATTTATTTATTGAATTTATTTATGTTTTTCTTAGTTAATGTTCGCACTTTCCGGTCAGGTATTATTTTAATCTTATATCGGTCGTTGACTAATTCTTCTTGTTCTTTGATGTATATTTGCACAAGTAAAATACAATAAGAGTTATGAGTACCGTGTACTCTTTTCGTGACTCAAAATTTTTGTTTTTTAGTGACCATTGCTGCAAAGTCTGAAAAAGCTTCTATCTATTGAGTACGTTTTGAAATTGAAAAGTTGTCTTCAAAACGTTAAAAAATTCGAGAGAAAACATCAAAAATTACTGTAAACTATAAATCGTTTCGCATTTATCTTAATATTTGTTTTTGAGCAGAAAAAAATTGTAGTTATCCCTTTTTTCTTCCATATTCTTACACTGGCGGAAGGCAAGGGGAAACCACCGCTGTACACTCCCAAGCACAACATGATAAACGTCAATATTTCCAATCAAGATAACAGCGTGAAGGGGGTTCTCAGAGAGAACAACTCGCTCGGTAGANATAATCCGTAAAGGTAGCATAGAACATCTGGTATTGAGTGGAAAAATTAACGGAAAGAAAGATAAAGGCCGACCTAGAATCAAATATCTAGAAAACGTGAACCTTTGGATTGAAAAACAAGGTCATGCGAAAATAGACTTTCTTCACGCAGCACAAGATAGGAAGAATTGGCGTATCATGTTAGCCAACGTCTGTAACAGATAAGGCACCTATCTGATCTGATTCTTACACTGAGCTGAAAATATTTTGTGTGACAGTTATTATCAAATCGATTTTTATATATAGTTTCTTCTTAAAATAGTGTTTTAGTAATTTTGGACCGATCTTATAAAATTTGTTCTAGAGAAAAAAAAATGCTTTTTTAACAGCGCTTCCAATATTTTAGTTCTCAAGTTCTCATAAGCGAAGAAAAGAATATTTTTCAAAGAAAAAAAAAACCATATATCTCAATTTGATCCTAGTTATTATAAAAAAACTCAATGATAAAAATGAATTATGGCTGTTTGAGAAGATCGAGGCTTAACGTCATTTCTGATCCTTCTGTCCTCTGTATCTCATAGAAAGCAGCATCCATGGATTCTGAGTCTATGGCAACTTTTGCTCGACAAGACGAAAGCTATTTACCATGAAAGTTTCAAAATTTTTGTTCGATCCGTTCATCAGATTCCTTTCAGTCTATTCTTGACAGGTATACACTTGATTAAGGCCAACCCTTATGTCATAAATTTATTTTTTTGCGGCAGAACAACCGATCGGGCTAAAAATTTCAGGTCAAATCTTAGCTGTTCATCAGTTATCCCTACATCAAGGGTAAAAAAAGTAAGCTAAGACCTGTCGCTGTAACTTAACAGAGCACAATATTTCAAAATATTGTTTATTTTTACTTCTGATGAAATTTTCTCTCATAACAATTCTAAAAAATGAGAGTGTCTTTGCAGAAAAACATTCATTTTTTAACAGTAAGTGGAAAATGAAAATTCCAACGATATTAAGTTGTAGAATGCAATTTTCTCTTCAATTGATAATCTTATTGAGCTTTCTAACACGTAAAACAGTCGAAAAATCTTTGACACAAGAACAGAAGAAATAGACAAATCTACTTTGAAAAAAACGTGAAACGATGTTTGATCCAGGAATCCAAGCTTTTTTGTTAATACAACGATTTACATAGAAAACAAACTATGAAAAAGAATAAAATATTTGCTAAATCGCATTAAACGTTGAGGATTAATTACTCAATCGCGTCAAAATTTCAAAATCGAATTTTTCGACAAAAATCGCAATTTCTGACAGGGAATGGACTTTAAACCAATAAATTTTTCTTTCTGATAGAAGCAGGCAGGCTCAAGAGGTTCAAAGTCTATGATAAGAGGGCGACACCTACGAAAAGTAAAATTATAATCTGCATAAAAGGTTAAACCCTTACATAAATACGTTTTCTGTCACCAAAGAATTAAAATGACAATAGATTTATACCATTTGAAAAGCGTAATTTATTATTTTCTTTTTTATTCTTCGCTTTTATCATTTTCTAGTAAATTCAAAGATATTTCTATTGCGTTAAAACAACAATATGAACGAATATTTCCCGAATATTCGACTAGATCATGACACATTTATTGTTTACAATCTGAATTGTGTATTAGCTTAAATTAATTTGATCATTTTCTCATTTCAATAATTGATGCAAAAGGTCATAAAAGAGGACAAAAACTATTATTATATAAAATAACTCTAGAGTTGGTTTATAATCATCAACGTGACTATTAATTATCATTCACATCGAAATAGCTGAGTACTTTTGAGCGTCTGAAAAAGAAGTCATTGCAAAAGAGTAGATCATACCTACAGGCTTTTAATCACAAAAATAATGCTATTCTCTCCATTGAATTTTTATCAAGATTAAGAGTTGTTTTTGAAAATGATATTTTTTTTTTATCTTGAAAAAATAGGAGAGAGTATGAAAAAATCACTAGACTAACTATTTTTTATCTGTCGAGTAGCACTAATAAAGTATTATTACATTACTCTCAAATCACTTTGCGCAATCAAAACCAAAATGACTCGTCCAGTCCTGAAATGACATATTTCATTAAAACGAAATAACTTCCGAGATAAATCACTATATATATATAGCTATTCATTTCAAATTTTAATTTCTCTTTATTCTTATTCATTAACAATAATCTACTAATAAAATATTTTCTTTTAGTAAATTTAAAAAATAATCAACATCGTTAAAAACATTTCTCAAGATTTTCATATCTTTCTTTTAAAATAAAAATTATCAACTCATTATATCTGTCATCTATTTTTTTCCATCTGAATAACATTCAATCATTTTCAAATAAAAATTTGATCGATGAGAAAAGTTCATTTCTAATAATACTAAGATAAATTAAATCGAGTAAAGAAAATTATATAGAATTTGAATATAAAAGGATTTTTCAACAATATTGTAATTCGATTTCTATTATATCATAAAATAAACAAACTTAAATTCTGCCTAGGAGCAATCGTTTCTAATATTTCAATAATCACTCTGACGAAACAATCGTTTATATCGATAAGAATCTAATCATAGTGGTATCAAAATTACGAGGTTGTCAATGTATAAGATGACATAATCATTTCATACAAGTTATATTGTTCAACATACAAGTCATAGAGTTAATCAAATGTCTACAATATGCTACTTTAAACTATATAGAAAAGAAAAACGTATGTATGATTAACAGTAATAGTAATAATCGACAGTTAAAAACGGAAGTTGACGTTTTTCTAGATTGGTCGATGATGATGAACGACAGTAGCAATTGTCCATCGAGTTCCGCATGCAAGAAAGAAAGGAAGAAAACGAATCAGTCAAACTTCCATTTTGGACTAAAAAAAAACCGGGAATAATTTCCAGTATACACACAAAAAACCTAATTGCTCGAGAGTTGTCGCACGCGTGCCTACTGTCATTAGCTTTTTTTCTCTCTCTCTCTACTCATTTTGTTCACACATATTCATCCATACAATAATCATAACTACGTTTCCACTTGAATGTCGATAGATGATTGTATGAGACGAACGCCAAAAAGGAAGCTCATCATGTCAGCTGCCTTGATGAATGAATGCCGGAAGACAACGATCATTTCTATAGTAGACATCACTAGTAGTCATTTCGAAAATAGCACAAAAAGAAAAGAACTATAGATTGGCTTGATCTAATACATAGGCGTGAAAATGATTTTGGTACATATACATACACACCGATTCATTATCACCTTCTCACACAAGGATAAGAGAAACAACAGAAAGGCTCATGTTGAGTTAGTGTTCTTCGAAACAATTTTTCCTAATCAAGTGTGAATGAACAACATACATAGGTAGCTTTTTTCAAATGGACACGAACAAAAAAAAACAAAAAGCAAAACGAGTGTCAAACGAATGCAACGCCGTCTCTATCTTGATCTATTTAAAAGTAATAAAATGAGATCAAAACCATTTACAGATGACATCGAAAAAGCTATAGTAGTTAAATATCCGGTTGAAAGAAGATGACAACAACATAGAATTCCAACATCGATAATTCGCTCTTCATCATGCCTATAATTAGTCAGTCCGCTTACTCTCTTACAAGTCATTTTGTTTTGTTACGTGAACAATCTTTTCAATGTACATATGCACACCATGTCACCACAATTAATCGAATTAATCTACCTTTTTTTTCCTTCTTTATCGGCGCATTTAATATACACTAGCTCTGTGATGATGAGTGAAGTATAAGAAGGTACTCCCACTTGACGGCTAATCTCAAACTTCTTCATCAATAGTATTCAATCATAAGAAAAAAACACGTACACATTTATGTATCCATTAGAGACAAGTCGTGACTAACGTCCATTATCAAACAAATATTGACTCACGTTTAATATTTTTTTGTTACCAAAAAAAAAAAAAAAAAGAAAATTTTTTAAATTTTTTTAAAAAATATCGAAATGATATATTAACTATGATGTCATTTTTGTTCTTGTCGGCATCAATAATATGTCTATATAAGATGATTGATCTATAGGTTGGTTCGATGAGCAAAGACGAATTGAATTTGCCAGAAGGCTTGAAGATGAGTTTGATATCGCGACATACGTTGAATATCTTCAAAAAAAAAGAATAAATGCACGCGCGCGCGGGCTTGTCTACATCTATTGTAAATTAAAATAAGCTCGAACGACTGCTGCCTACCGATTGATAAGCATCATAGGAGGCTAAGCCTCTTTCACACTTCACCATAGGTGGGGAGTTCATGTGTATGCCTATTTTAATCTCACGAAAAGAAGATCGATAAGATTTTTCTTTTTGATCAAAAAAAAAAGAAATACGAAATATTCTAAAAGAAAAAAATTATTAACAGAAATATATCCTACATCTATTTTTCGAATCATTAGCAGTGATACACACAAAACGTTAAAAAGATTATGATAGATTTGTCAATGTCCTCAATGAGGTAGATGAGGACATGGATCGATTAGCAACAATATCAGCTTGGATATATATATGGTCAATGTATCGAAGAGCGCATCATGCACATGACACACCGTATGATGAATGTTGGTTTAATGACAAGTAACGACGACATTGAATCGTCATCATCAACAACAACAACGAGGAAAAGACAATCAGAGAAAAAAACCTCCATACACAGCAGGAATTCTTAATGAGAAATTAACCTTTTTTTTCTATCAGGTATTTTTTCTAATGAACGATGTGAACAATAATTCGTTTTCTTTTTTTTTCGTGGGAGCGAACAGTATTGAATAAATAGTAACTATTTATTGAATTGCAAAACCAATCTTCCATATGTTGTTGACGCCTTTGATGATTCCAGACGAATCGATTCGATTTATATTCTTCTTCGTTTTTTTTTTGTTTTGTTCATCAAACATCTTTCACACGATTATAATTTTGTCGGATAACTAAAAGATATTAAGTTTTGTTCTAAACCAATCATAGTTTGTCTTTTCAAGCATCCAATGAAATATTTTTTCTCTCTTTCTTTCGAGGTCAAATAAAATTTTTCTAATAGAACCAATGAAAAAAGAAAAGTTTTCTCTCGTTTTCTTCTTTTTTCGATGGTGTTCTTCCGGTTCGAGAGAGAAAGCGAGAGCGAGAGAGAGAAAGAGAAAAAAAGAAATTACATGTTCATGTGTTATACATCTCATCATTATCAGTTTGTATCCCGGTCGTCAACCTTCTAATTATCGAGAACGTCCTGCATCGAAGTCAGTTGTTTCGGGGTGGAGCTAAACATTAATGTTCTATTTTTTGAAACAAGAAAAAAAAGTAAGAGAAGAAAAAAAACCGAAGATCTTCATTGTATAACCCGTTGATTACATGACATAAAAAAACGTATAATTTCTTTTTTGTAGAGACGATTCTATAATTAACTCTTGTTTCTTTTGCTTTGTCTATGATAAACTACGCATATCTTATTTCATGGCAACATTGATGGCAACAAGTAACAACAACTCGGTATGCAAAAACTAGAAGCATCGTTTTCGTCCAATTTCATTTTTATTCTGCTTGAATAGAAGAAGAAAAAAACGACAGAGGGGAGAAAAAAAAACGAGTGTTTGAATATAACTAAAACGTAGACACCCCGTTGAGTTGAATTCTATGGTCTCAATCAAGCGCGCACTACTCAATTACTATTACTTATGCTTTGTTTTTGAACAAAAGAAAACGAATGAATGTATGAGAGATCATGTAACATTCAATATGGATTTCTTTCTTTTTTCGTACTATATAGGACATGAACATGACTACTGTCAATCCATTGGCTATGTTAGCAGCACAATGTAATAAAATTCAATCGTCCAATACCACGATTATTAATAATAACAATACACCAACGTCAGTTTTATTACAATCTGCAACAACAACATTTGGTCGACCGAAAAGTCCACCATTGTCATCATCATCATCATCACCACCGAAAACAAGTTTTTATGCTTGGAAAAAATCTCTAACAACAAGTCCACCAACTTATTATTCATCATCAATGAATAATACAAATCATCATCATAATCCAGAAATAGCTTCATCATTGGCACGTATTACTCATTATGAACATTCGTTATTCAATGGTAATGGTCATTTAAAAGAAAATACAACAATACCACCGCCTCCACCTCCACCACCACCACCATCATCATCACAAACAGCTTGGTTTGATATTCATCATCATCATCATCATTCATGGTTTGCTGCTACTCAAACACCGCCCATTTTGAATAATAACAATGAACAACAACCACCACCACCTCCACCACCACTGTTTTCTACACCAACTAATGCTCAATATTCATCTCATGGACATCATCATGTCCAACCAACACCTTATAATGATTTTCTTTCTGCTGGTCATCAATATGCAGATTCATATCGACATGAATTTCGTTTACTTTATCCATCAGTTGTTCCACCACTACCACCACCGCCACCATCATCATCATCTTTATCACAATCAACGTTATCATTTCCATCTCATACACCATCACCACCATCGATTCAAGCAACTACATCGTCACCAACAACAATAACAAATAATTCGAACAGTTCACCCAAAACTACAATTTCAAATAATTTAACAAGAAATGGAAAACAACCAAAAGCCAGCCGTGCTCAATGTGATTGTCCTAATTGTCGTGAAGCTGATCGTTTAGGTTTTGTTGCTGGAGCTAATTTACGAAAACGAAATATTCATAATTGTCATATACCAGGTTGTGGTAAAGAATATAATAAAACATCACATCTCAAAGCTCATTTACGTTGGCATACAGGTAAATAATATTAAAAAAAAGAAAAACTAGAGTTTCCATTTTCACACTCAACCTATAATTATAAACATAGTCATCAACTTGTTCTTGTTGCGTGTATCGTGTGAATCAAATTTCATCATATTTGAAATAGCAAAAAAAAAATGTCAATTGACTTCTGACACGCATATTGATAAGAGAATAACTTGTGAATATTTCTTTCCTTTTTGGTTTATTTTAAAGGAGAACGACCATTTGTTTGTAATTGGTTATTTTGTGGAAAACGATTTACTCGTAGTGATGAACTTCAACGACATTTACGAACTCATACAGGTATGAAATGTATATTCATTAGGTCTGACACCCGATCATTTGCTCATCTTCAGTCCATTAAAAAAAATAAACTACTATTCGATTTATCTTGTCCGCCCACCTTGAAATGACCACTATTGCCAAGGCTAATCGTGAGAGAAATAGGACATATATGCGATAATTAACTTCGAACGAATACCTATCGGCCAAGTCTATTATTTATGTGGAATGAATCATTCATGCGTGATATATATCAACATTGACATATATATAGAGAAAGAGAAGAAAAAGATGATCATAGGTTGTGTTCAACAAGAAACATCAATCAATCAGATGAAGAAGAAAAAAAGAAGCCTTGTCAACAAGATTGTTTTTCTCATTAAACATTATGTGATAAATAATCTACACATCTACATGTACACCTTTGTTATGATGATACAGATCATTCATTATTATGTTTAGGTGAAAAACGATTTGCATGTCAAGTTTGTGGAAAACGTTTTATGCGTAGCGATCATCTTAATAAACATGTATGTTATTATTATTTGAGTAATTAAAATAGAAAACTATCATGGCTTTTTTTTCTCTTTTGTTAAGGTTAAAACACATTCGATAAATATGAATGGTAGTAATATAAATGAAGAACATCGGATGAAAAATCTTGATTCTGATACGGAAGAGACTCATCGAGATCATCATCAACATCAACATCAACATCAACGTCTTCCACATCAAACATTACTTAATATGCATCATCAACGATTTATGGTTGCCGATATAAAAACAGAACCGAGAATGACCGATTAAAATAAAGATTCTCGACGACATTTTTTTTTTCGCATATTTTTTCTTCATTTTTTTTTTCTTTTTTTTGCGCACTTTTTCTCATGATCTTGTATCTGTAGTGAATATATGTGAAATATAAAAAACAATATTAATAATAATAATAATAATATAAAAAAATGTCAAACTACAGATGTATTTTATGCCAATGCTATTTTTTTAATCAAAGTAATGTTCAAGTCTGGTCATAGTCAGCGAGCAGAAAAAAACCAGAACTAATGAGTTGGATGATTTTTTATGCTGTTCGGGGGATAACATATTTAAAAGACGCTCAAAAAGCAGCAACTCTCAGTTCTAGTAATAGAATGTATTCTGCAAGCATATTATTCCGTCTCGTCGTCATCTTTGAATTTCTTTCAAATTTTAATGTTCAACTACTTTGTTCTATTCATGATGATGAAATATTATGTAAAGCACCTGAATTTTATCATTATAATTCTTCATCTATCAATAATAATAATATTATAAGATCAGGTCAGACACTTCATTTAACAAATGCTTATTATTCAGGTATGCTTATTGAAAATATCAATGAACTAATTATTGATGATTATCCATATAAAACATTTCCATTACCATTTATTTCATCATTAACACTTCATAAGTTACATATTGAACATACATTTTTAAATGTATTTCCAATATGGTTTTGTACGTATAATAAAAACTTATCATGGATTGAAATAAATTATTCACATATTGAAGAAATAATTGAACATGATTTAAATCTTTGTTTAAATTTACGTACATTACGTATATCAAATTCATATTTAAAACAATTTACAAATTCTTATAATGTTCAGATCTTTTTACATTCATTATATCTTAATAATAATAAATTGTTGAGCATTTCTCATAAAAATGCTTTAGATTTAAATCAATTTCCTCATTTACGTATTCTTGATTTATCATACAATCAAATAAAAACAATTTCATCAGAAAGTTTTAATGAAACATCATCTTTAACAACACTTGATTTATCATTTAGTCATTTAGAATATTTTCAATTAAATAATATAAAACATTTAACATTATTAGAAATACTTGATTTAAGAGGTAATAATTATTTACATATAAATGAAAATTGGTATGATTACTTACCACATTTAATGAAAATCTATTTTTCGTATGCACATTTTTGTTGTAATTATAAAAATAATTTAAAAATATTAAATGAAAAACATATTAAAAAATCTAAATTTGATCAAATATTAGATAGATTTATTGATGAAAAAGAAAAACAATATAAAAATGAAAATGAATTAATGTCTATTTCTTTTCATTCGGATCAAGTTTGTTTTCCATTACCAGATCAAATGACACCATGTGAATCATTATTTTCATCGAAATTTACTCGTTTTATTTTTTTAATGATTGTATTTATTTCTGTTGCTTCAAATTTAACAGCACTGATCATTACTTTATTTCGTTTAATAACATCATCTTATAATCGATGGTCAATATCAACTGTACTTAGTTCAAATTTAGCATTGGCTGATTTTATTTCATCAATTTATCTTGTTCTTGTTGGTATGATTGATATACGTTTTAATGAAAATTTTTATAGTAAAACTCAATTATGGACTAATTCATATTTATGTACATTAGCTGGATTCATTTATATATTTGGAATTCAATCATCTATATATGCATTAACTTTATTAACATTTGAACGTTTTTATACAATATTATATTCATTTAAACGTCAAACACCATGGCCATCTAAATTTACATTAACATTTATTTCCTTAGGTTGGTTAATAAGTCTTTTAATTGCATCATTACCATTGATTAATGTTAATAATTTTCATGCAAATTCCTTATGTGTACCATTTCGTATCGAAACTGTATTTGATAGACTATATTTATCTTTATTAGTTATATTTGATGTTTGTTTCATTGGTATAATTATAACATGTAATGGTCTTATATGTTTTAATTTTAGTAAATCACATGTACATACATTAAATGATGCACGAGCAACATTAAAAATTCTAACATTAGTTATTTCCATTTGTATAAGTCGAATACCATTAATTATATTTATTTTTCTTGCTTTAATTGTTCACCCAACTTATTCATATAATATTAATAATTATAGTTTTAATTTTAATCATTTTAAAATAGTTGTACTTTTTTTACAACCATTTAGTTCATGTTTTAATCCATTTATGTATTCATCTTTATCAACATTAAAATGGACACGTACAAGGACTGATTTTGAAAGACCAAAACCAATGAAAAGATCATTTGAATTTTCACGATTTCGATCAACATCAGTTGTTTTTAATCGTGGTTATCATCCACTACGCATGATGTCTATTAGTTCACTTGATTATCGACTTTCATCATCACCAAATACTCCTTAAATTAAACACTTGAATAGAAAAAATAATTTCAAAGTTTCATTTTCTTTGTATCATTCTTTTATGTTTGTAATTATTCATATCTCTGTTGTTTTGTGTACTTCTACATAATAAAGAATCATAACTACATATTTATATTTCTATCTGTCAGAAATTTTTTTTAATACTTGTGCACTATGAAAATCAAAGACTTTTCCATCATACAGTAAGCTTTTAATGACTAGATTCTAAAAGATCTTTAAGATGTTACCATAATGATAAAATCGAAATCGTAGATCAAGTTCGAATAAATGAAAATACAATGAATATCAAACTTATACAACAAGACTTGTATTCAATTTTTACCTGCTGTCATAAGCGTTGCATAGAATCCAAATAGAAAAAATGCTTTCCAACAAAAATCTAAGGAAATACAATTATTATCAGGATTGTAAAAGTAGATACTTAAAAAATGAGACAAGGTCAAGTTCTCTGCAGTGTGTTTTGACTAAGATACAGCAATCTTATTGAAAGTCAAAAAACGGTATTTCTGTAGAAAAGCAGAGAAAAAAGAACTTAGGGGATCCTGTAAGACTGCTGTATCTCAACTCAACAATGTTACAGAGATATCGGAGACGTCTCAATTTATAGAGAACTATTTACTCTATTGTTCTATGTAGTCTAAAAGACAAAATTATATTTATCCGTTTTAGATACTGAGAAAATAGTCTTTCAATTTTTTTGGAGTTCTTGTCTTGGAAAATCTGATAATAATTTTTATTTCCTTATACACCTTTTGAAAACAGTCTGCTTTATTTGAATTCTTTCTAGCGCTTACGGCAGCGGAAAAAAAACTTGTCGGCTTATCTCGGTACACACTGTATGCATAACAGCAAATATTCACTTCAGCTGAATCGTAGATGAATGACAATGCGTGGTACATAAGAGATAATGTCTGGTAATATTGAAAGAATTGAAGACTGCAGTATGTCAACCATAAATAGCAATGTCGAATGCATCTATTGACAATGTCAAAAAATGTTACAGTGAAATTAACAGTAGGCAATTGAACGAGGTGTTAATATTTTTAATAATTTATTAAATCATATTTATTTTTTATGAAAAGAATAAAATAAAGAAGAAAAATTAATAACACTTTCTAAGAATAACAAAATCAAGGCTATATTAAGCCTTTAAATATTGGCGTACATAATTCAGTACATTTTTTTAAAGAATTTCTTAACTTCTGAATAACTCACCAATGCAAGAAGGATATCGAGATACGACAAAGTAGTTTTATCGGCTAATGACAAATTCATATATATGAGATGGGAAAATACGTGCCAAATAAATTAAATAGCTTCGATGTTAGAATAAGTGTGAAATGATCTTGACAATACTTAACTTATGAATATTTATCCTCTATATCTTAATTATTACATAATTATGATAAATATTAACCATAGAAGATATGATAGAATGGTCGATATTTTTTTCCTCACCCTGATCTTCCTATGCATGCTATAATAGTTTATGCTAATTTCAATGAAATTCTCAAAACATATACTATTTAATCCATATACTTCGTGTAAATACTCTGAAGATATTTTAGGGTATGTGGTACAAAATTTTGAAATGAAAATAATATTCTTTTGGTGAATTTTGAATATTTTTGAAAGAGTGCCTCAAATTTCCAGTGACTGCTTGCAAGTAATTCAATTACTTTCTTTCGATAGGCCTAGCACTTTTCCGTTCTCTTCATAAATATACAATCATAGGACTTATTCGATGCGTCTGATTAGAAGCTAGAAAACAATACTATTTGATTTTGTCGATACAGATATCTATTTAATAGAAAATGGAAAGTATTTGCGTCCCATCTCTGCCAAGTTCAAAAGTGATGCTCGATCTTAGAACAGCTGTATTTCAGAAACTATCAAGAGTTAATACTTGAATTTCATCTTATAAGTAGATAGAGTCAACAATGCATTTTGATAAAACTAAAAAGTCTTTATTTCTCTTGAATGAAAAGTTATGAACATTTCATAGTAAATGAAATGAAACGTTTATATCTCGCGAAGCATCCTAGACAGAGGTCTAAACTTGTTTGATGATCTGCATTCACTTATAACAATGATTACACAAATCTAGAAGTCTTTAGTCTATCATGATCAAGTGTGGATACTCAATCGATTAAGTGTCTAATGATTTGATTGAAAAGTAAACAAATATAAGATTCATCAATCTCTATTCACGATAACAATTTGAATCATTAAAAATCAAAATCATCGTAGAACTACTTGCCAGCAATCGCAATCAAGTACAATTACCGACAAAAGTAGTCTTCTATTTAATGAGAACGTTCAACCCTCTCGAAGTTCACATTAATCGGAACAAATTGGAACGTTCTTTTTTTTTATTCTTCCTATCGAACAATAATATTGTTGTAGTATTTATTGCATTTTCAATTTAATACTAAACCATTCTTTTTCTTTTATAACTGAACGCCAAGTCATTCGAACTTCTATACAAATGACATTTGTTTATTTTCTTTTGAATCATGTTTGGAAACAGTAACGAATAGGTTATAAGAAAAAAAAATCACTTCATTTTAATCATTAAAATGGAGCGATACGACCAATTGATAAAAATTCTTCGCGTGATTTTGGATCTTCACGAAAAACACCAAGCATTGCTGATGTTGTTGTACGTGAATTCACTTTCTCAGCACCTCGCATAACCATACACATATGACTAAAGAAATTAAAAAGCAAAAAACAATAATTCATTGTTTTCTTTTCTTGTTTAGCACCTACATGCATTCAACGATAACAGCTACACCTCTTGGTTGAATAGCTTCAGCAATAGCTTCTGCGATTTGTCGTGTTAAACGTTCTTGTACTATAATATACACATTATTCAACAAAAATTAATTTTGTTTATCTACTTTTTTACAAACCTTGTAAACGTCGACTAAATACTTCGACAATTCTAACAAGAAATTTAAATTTAATTTTTTTTTATAAAAATAAATATTTTTCAACACCTTGCTATTTTACTTAAGCCAAGTACTCGTTTATTAGGTAAATAACCAACAGATACTTTGCCGAAAAAAGGCACCCTGAAAAAGCAACAAGTAAACCGTATCCCTGATTAAATAAAACTTTGAATCATACATATGATGTTCACATAATGAATAAATGTCAATTTCTTTCACGACAACCATATTTTCACATTCTTCGTCAAATATAGCATCACTAACAACATCTCGAATAGATTGTTCATAACCTTTTGTAAAAAAAACCAATGCCTAAAGAAACCAAAGAAAGTTTATATTAATTGATTAAATATTTACAGAGAAAATCAATAAATTAAACTATTGTTGATTATTACAAATCAACTACTTGAAGTTTCAGTTTCCTTTATTTTCATCGGTTTACTTACGGATAGAGCCCGTAGAGTTGGTCCCGCACCTGAACCCGACCGGATCTGAGTTCCAAAATGTGAACCTGATGGGCTCCAGTTGTCTACCAAATGCGTAGTGCATCAAAGTCCAAAAAAGATCTCGTATTTTCAGGATAACTATCCATTTCTGATTAGAAAATTTTATTGAGAGTATCAAAGTACACTCCGACCAGGGTGAGATCCAGGTCGAAAATTTTGGACTCGACAAGTTCTACTTATGAGGAAACATTTCAAAGTGTAAAATCGCTTTTAAGACTAGGTTTTGTACATCATATAGGCTCTCATGAGCTATGAGTACCCTGACAAGAGTTTGAGTTAATAGCTTATCATTGTCGAGATATTGTATTTTTATCAAAATGCCGTAGCCCCCTTCCGGAACACCAGAAAAATTTATTTCCGAATTTTGACTTGAAATTTCGTACAGAGACAGGCCTTAACGAGAGTAGTTTATTTTGAAAGTCTAAGATCTTTTGATTGTTTCTATTCTAAGATGCAGCTATAGTAAAAGGATATTTTTCAAGTTGTTCATATAACAATGGCAACATCCGATATTCTTATTTCAGAATAAGCGCAATCGAAATATATGTAAATTTTTCAATAACCTACTCTCGTTAAGGTCTGTCTCTATGAAAAGTTTCAGGTCGAAATTGAAAAATCAGTTTTCCTAGTATTTTTTAGTGGGCCACAAAATTTTGCCAAAGATTCAGTATACCAACACTAATAAACTATTAGTTCGAACTCTTTTCGGAATATTCATAGCTTATTAGAACCTATACCATGCACATAATCCTAATTCAAAAGCGTTTTGATATTTAAAAACATTTACTCGTTATTTGGTAGAATTCAAATCGTGTTATGATTAACAACGCATATTTTAAATAAATAAAAATATGTATAGAAATTAATGTTCCTACTAAAAACAAAATTGTTGTTATTTCCGAGAGAGGAAAATAAATCGATCGTTTACTGTAAAAAAAATTAACAATAGTTTTACGTTTGATTACTCATTCACTATTGTAACAGGCACTTTTATTATTATAAATGTAGAATGGTCGAATAAACTAATGTGAGTATGCATAGTAAAATACCCAGAAAAAAACATACATACTTCAGCAGCACGTTTTGGTGTTTTAAGAAGTCCTATGAAAAATGAAAAGGAGTTCAAATTATAATGCATCTAAATGAAGAAATTTAACCTTCTCTTAACGGATCTTCTCCAATACTCTCTAAAATAACTTCATAGCTTCGACTTATTGTTTGAATACGTTGATCACGTATTAATGTTGTATCATCTTCACGTAATGCTTTTTCATCAAGTAGACTTTGTTTACGTTCCCCATACATAATTCGATCATTATCACCGTTTCCTATTATTGAAAATGTAGCTGATTTAATTGGACGTACTGTTGAATTTGTTGTCTCGTCTATAGATTAACATTAAAATTAAATTAAAAAAAAACCAAAGAAGATATATTTTATATTTGCATAAAACTAAAAATTTTTACATGATAATCGTTGACATCGTTTCTTTGTTGTTATTGATTTAGGTGAAGATGGTGAAAAAAAAATCTTTGCTAGTTAGAGAATCAATAAATATATCATCGTCTGACTGTGACGTCATTTAGAGCCTAGATATTTAGGTGAGCTAATAGTCGACTGACTTTTCTAACAATCTAATTTATCACAGTTGCTTTTCATTCTCTATTTTCTTTGACATTTTTGTTTTATTCTTTCTCGTTCTTTCTTTCCCTGTGTCGATTTCTTTTCCTTCAATGATTTTCCTTAGAACAATGCAGAAGGAAACTGTAATGATAATAAGACAAATCGAAAACTGTCAGTAGGCGATGTCAACAAGCCTTATAGTGACTGTTAAAACATTAAAATTTATGCTTTCTCCTCCCATTTTTCTTTTATTAATCCATAGACAAGTATATGAAAATAATCATCGTACACAATGAAGAGTCATAATCATTTTGATAAAAAATAGCATACCAGAATCAGCACCTTCATTGGAATGCATTGTGTTGATAATGTTGACAGTTCTATGGTATTTTTTTCAATAGTAATAATAATGCGTTGAGCTTCCAATTTTATTCTTTAATGATAAGAATAAAAGACAAGGCAACATAAAGAGCCAGCTGGTACCATATTAACTAAGAAATAAATATAGTTCACATGATCACTTATGTATTTAATGAGAACGAGCTAGTTTTTTTGTTGTCTGTTTTTACAAATGGTACATCTAATAAAATTTGATTATTCGATTTCTATATTTTTTGTTATTGTTCAATCAAACATTCTTCTTTTTCTTCTTTTAATTCCATTTGATTTCATCTTTTGAAAGGTTTTAGTATTCTTGTCATTATTTTCCTTTTTTGTTTTTGTTGAAATGTTATAGTTTTTTTTCTTTCGTTTGTTCTTTCAGAATTCTCATTTATTTCTTTTTTTTGTTGCGCTTGCTTAATTTTTACATCAATTCTATTGTTGGTATATTCGTCTAAAATATTAAAGAATAAAATGGCAGCAACATCGACAAAATCAACTGATCAGTACAATGATAAAAGGTCCTATGTTGCCAGAGACCTTATCTGGTAATTTGATTCAATAATATTCATTTGTTATTAATATATTCATTAACATTGAAATTTTCTGAAGGAAAGATCATATATCAAAAATTGAAACAGCACAAAGATTTTATGATAAACGATGGGGTTTTCTTAATGAAGCTCAACTTCAAGTATGAATTCTTTTATTCGTTTTTGACATTTTTCTTAATTAATTATCAATTGAATATTTTATAGACTTCACCATATGATCCCAAACGATCATCAGGCGGTTTCCTTTCAAGTGTTCCATCTTCTTTAACAATCAATTGTACATCACATAATGAAGATGTGACAATTACTCCATCACCAAGACCAGTTCCATTAACATCAAATAGATTAATTGGTTGGCGAACAGCAGATAAAAATTGTACTTTGGAAAAATATGGCAAATATGCTCGTGGACAAGAATCATTGCATAAAAAATTCAAATGGCCTGTAGAAGGCTTTGATTAAATCAAACAATATTTCTATATACATAAAATATAGACTTATCAATTATTAAATTTTTTTGTTTTTATTTTTTGATTGAGTAGAAGCCTAAATAAAAAAGAAAGCAACAACAACAACAACACAAAAGAACAATCCTACAAAAACAAAATTCATTTTTTTTTCTTTTTGTTCTCTTATACTACGTCATCACTTGTTCTTGGTGTGTTGCCGCTCACTATTCCTTTCCTATTCTATATATATATAAGTGGATTCGATACCCATGTCACCCAAGAAAACAAGCAGATTCAAGGACAGATAAAAAGAAAAAAAAGAAAGTCTTTTTGAATCGAATAATAGTAACATCATTGTCTGCGACGTTGTAATGGATGGTGTAGATTTGAAGACAGAAACAGAGAAGTAAAAGATGAATTGAAGCGCGACAAAGCAATTTTATCACTAGCAAATATGTTTCAGACAATTTCTTTTTCCCTCTCTTTTCCGATCCAATCGACCGGAAGCTTCCCAAAGAAATCATTCCGTTGCCATTTTAACGTGCTCCTTTTTCTTTGCTGGAAGACTATACATTAACTGTAACAAAGACTAAGAAAATCAACGGCAAATCACATTGATTGTTTTTATGAGCGATCGAGGTGTGTCAAAATTTCTATATTGACTTGCTTTAGATAAATCAATTTATTCATCCAATAAACTCGTAAGTTGATTATATAGTGTATGAAATAAAGAATAAGAACAAAGGAGATTTACAAACGTACGAAACAAGTTTACAAACTGACACATGTCAATCATAGCTTTTGAGTTCTTTTGTCTCTTTTCTTTTTTCCTAAGATGGTTTCATTTTGTCTTTATTGAAAGTATATATTGCCCTCGATTAACCTTTCTCTTGTTGAAATGTTCTTTTTAATTTGTTTCATTCAAACCTCAATATTCAACGGTAAACGACTTAAAAATTGATTTTTTTCTCATTGGTGTATAGGGTTATTCTCAGCAAGAATATCTGTGAGAAAAAAAGATCTCAATGATTGCTTTTTTTTTTCTTGTATTTCTATTAGATAGATTCTTTCATGTATTCTTGTCTTGTTTTGATCGATGTCGTGTCGCTTACATTAAAAATACAAGGCAAGAAAAGTGTTTTCTCAGATTTGTTGTTTTTTTATCTGCATATATAATGATATTGAGCCTAGATATATATGTAAAGTTGATATAGACAATTCTCTTTTTTGTTCATTCATTTTTCTGCTATAGTCGCATCCTTTTTTTTTCATTAGACTTATCAAAGAAGAACCATGCACAAGCACATGCACTCATCCTGACAGTTATATTATTGCTAGTAGAATGTGCCGAAGAAGTAAAGAAGAGTAGGATAGTTCTTTATCCAAATGACAGTGGAATAGAAGCAAGCTAGAAAGAAAGATACTATCGAGTTGTCGGCGACAGTCATAGGAATAGTAATTGCAAGAAATGAAGAATGAAAAAAAAGAATGATGTTGAAGGGAAAATGAGATGAATGTTGTTGTGAACAAAGATATATGTTTCCAGTTCTTCAAACAGGCATATCGGTTTTAGTTGATTCCCTTGATAAACAATACATGCTATTATCACCATTGTGTTTTTTTTTCTTGTTTTCTAGGTGTAGATTGATTTTACTCACATTACTAATTTGTGTATAATTTACATATCACCATGGCTTCATTTATCATGAAACAAATGATGGGTTCTCAGTTAGATAAAGTTAAAGGTATGTTTTTGTTAAGAAGACATATATTTATATTTGATATCGAATTTTTATATTTATTATTGAGTTAAGTATTTTTCTAACAAGGAAAGACTAGACTTGATAGAATGATCGACTGAAACAAATATGTCTTTATTAATTCTTCTTCATTCATTCATTCGCTTCATCTAGTTTTTCCATCTATCTGCTTCTTTAAATATACTCAAATTTACAACAGAATTGAAGACAGGAAACGAGTAACGCGACAAACAACCTCGAATTCACATTTTTCCCTTGACTGCTTGTTTATCTACTAGTTACTCATCAACGACACTCATTGAAATACTAGTTGTTGTAATAGTCGACGTGATAGTATTATACTTAAGACTACATGTTCTCTATGTAACTCGGGAGCTGATTCGATGATGTTCACATCCGAATGAATTAACAATGTCATTGAGCTTCTAAAGAGGAATAAGAAAATGAAGAAAAAAAACCAAGGATGAGGAAAGACGTTGATAGAGAGAAAGATAGATTAGTTGGTTAATATTATGAGAAAAAAAGAAGGAAAAAGCTCGTTCAGTTTACGATCGACTCATATACAATAGACATGAGCAACAAGGCTGATAGTAAAAGTGAGTTGTCTAGTGAATTATTATTATTTTTCTTTAATTGCTCAATGATATTTTTTTGATATTATAGAATTAGCCGGCGGCGACGGAGAGAAAAAGGATGGTGGTAATGGTAGTGGCGGTGGTGGTGGTGATGACGAAGAAGATCCAGAGGTAAAATAAACCTCTCGATGTTATATAATATTTATCTATCTATATTTTCTCGATTGTTGGCCATTATCATTGCTAATATTATGATTATTGTTTTAAAATCTATTGAAAAATTAATACTACTTTCTCAATGTAAATAATAGGAAATATCTGAAACAGAAGTCCGTTAAATTTTTCTTATTTTTTTCCATCTTTATCCGAAAGTACATTACTAGGGAAAGCTTTTGATGAGTTATTTCTGCTTGGTTGACTCACTTATGATTTTTACAGTCCGTTGTCATCACGGCAGCATTCAGATATGTAATCTTTCTCAATAATTTTTCTTTTCTCCCAAAAACAAAAGAAAAAAATTCTCAATTTTCTAATCGACAAGTTAACAAATTACACTGATTTACTAAAGGCTAAGATGAAACTCGTCTATATTTTCCGTATTCTTCTTTATTAGTTTTCCGTCTTCTTCATCTTATCTTAATTGTCTTTTCTTTCTCTCGCATTTTTTTTTAAATGAACCTTCAATGAATAGCATTTTCTGTAGACTCTTTTTTTTCTAATATAAACACATTTTATGTAGTCTTGCACTCATTCATCGTCGTCATTAGCATACACCCACAATTTTTAATAATTTCTTTTCTTATTTTTCTTGTCTTTTCAAATATTTATTTTACATTGATAAAACAAAAACTATTCTTTTATTAAACAAGAAAAACTATGGATAAACTCGGTGTTAATACATTATTTCTATCGGCTGCTTCACCAATACAAACTCGACGTTTTTCCCTTGTACCGCCATTTACTAAGTCTACATCTTCATCTGCAAACACTACACCAATAAATCCTCGTCGTAAGAGTATGATTGAATCACCAGTGGTGAGTTTATTATAATTAGGTCACCTGATAATGTCAACAATGAAAAGATTTATTTAATTTTTGTACTTCAATATTACATTTTCAAGAGATTGATAAGATTTATTAAAGTATTAAAAAATTGATGAAGTCTTTTTTAATTGATTGTTTTAGGTTACTGAAGCTCGACGTGAAGCAGACGAAAAACGGAATGCAAAATATGCAAAAATGGAACGACAACGAGAAGAAGTTCGACAAAACATTCGAGAAAAAGTAAAATTAGAAAATCTTTTTTTAGTTTAAAATGAGTCGTTCTATTTCACTAATATCTTGATTAGATATGAAAAAGAAAAACGTTTGATTTATCATTTAAAGTTAGCCTTTGAGGCATACCTATTCAATAGAAGTTTGCATTCTTTTATCTAGCATTGTCACGAAATGATTGACATGCTAATTTTTTTTGTTTTTTTTTTCTCAAATTTGATTATAAAAATTTTCCATTCTAGAATGATTTCAATTTATAATAGTATTTAAAAAAATCTTAATAACTATTTCCAATTAGTGGAAACTTTATCGCTTGTCTATTGTATTTCTTATAACTATCTATATCGAAAATCTTACATGATATTTTTCGTTGAATGTCTTTATATAATTTATCTATTAATAATAATCAATCTTTTATGTTGCTTATTGTTTTTTTTTTGAATAGTATAATATTAAGAAAAAAGAAGAATCAGTTCCACCACCATGTGAAGGGCGTTTAACAGCTGATAAAAAGGGACCAATTCCTTTACCGGATGATGATGATAGTATGTTTGTTGCTTTTGTTTTGAACTATTTTAATTTCATTTTCATTCTTTAGGTTTTGATCCAATTAAAATGGCTACAGATGCATTAAATACTATCACTGAAAAATTACCATTTAAATTGCCTTGGAAATGAATAAAAATCAAAAATATAACTGAGTCATGCCCGTCAGATACAATCACAATTTCTATTTCGTATATGATCTTCCGAACCGGTCTTATAAAAACAAAAATTTCAAACTTTTCGATGGGCATTTGATACATATGCATACATATTTATTTCTATATCTATATATATCTACATATAATTTTTTTTCGTCATTTAATGAGTACCTACTCATACATATATATTGGTCTCGTTCTGTCTAAGCAAAAAAAAGTTCTAATAAAATCAAATCATTGAACTCTGTTTCAATATCCAATCTGTAGTATTTCGTATATGTGATTTAATGTAATTAAATTGATTGTCATCCGAAAATAGAACTATTAATCCAATAATAATAGCTGCAAATATTAATAATATAAGTAAATTTCTTAATAAAATGTGCATTTGTGTTGTAAGAAACGTAATAATACGCATAGGTAATGTAATAAAAAAAGTAAATAGGTGTGTCAATAATGCCACTGCTCGATAAATTGGATAAGTAATACGATGAATTCGATTAATAAGTAAAATAGAACTTTGATAGATTGTATAAAACGGAAAACAAAGTGTAAACAGAAGATGAATCATATAACGAACACAAAAAGGTAATGATGATAACATATTATTAAATGTTGCTATTGAATAATGTAATAGGTTAAATAATTGAAAGATTCCACTTATTAAATTATATAAAAAACGTCCGAGTTCAGCAAATCGATTTGATGATGTTCGTGGAGCATATGAATATCGAACGAATCTAATAGATATTATTATAGAGCAATAGTTAAACAAATTTCTAGGATATTTCATTTTATTTTTATAAACATTTCGTACGTTCAATAAACAGGTTCTATATTACGTAATAATCAGAGCTCTCGATAATTTTTACTAAGTGATTGAAGCCAAGAAATTAAAAGCCAGTCTCTCTGGTAGAAAATGTTTGCGAGAAGCTTTTTGCTGTAATTTTATATACAGTTTTTTGACAACAGTTCAAGGTTTTCGCAAATACGATCCAAAAAAATGTCACTATGCTCTTTGCTGAGATTTAGTAATTTGCATTTTGACGATGTTACTGTGGGCGACATGACTATCGGCAATTCCTGTTTTCGATACTATTCATTTCAATGATCGAACCAATCGGCGACATTCTGCAATGATGCTTGCAGCATATATATATATATATATATGATAAATATTTAGAAAGAGTGAGCGTAAAGAACGATTGTCGAAAAGAGACTCACGAACATAGATGATCATCTACAATTGAAAGTGTACACTAGATATGGGCAAGATGCTCCCAGGACTAGCACTTCTTCACTGAGAACAATTTCTTTTTATGGCTGTGTAAAATTTGCATCGAGCAACATATTACTACAACTCATGTATTTTATATAGATATAGGCAAAATGGTTCGGCTCATATCTAGAAGCGATACGAATTGGGTAAGCTCATGTTCTAGATCGTTTCAACTATTGTTCCGAAAATGTACATCGCAATTTAAATGTAATAGAAACTGACTTTTTTCTGATGAGGAAAATTATCTAACGGATAAATCACTTTTAAGTTGAGACTTTGTGCATTTGATAGATCCAAATGAGCTATCAATACCTTAACAAGATTTCGAGTCTTTAGCTTATTTCTGCAAAAATACTGCACGTTTACAGTATTCTTTTAAATAAATGCCATCGTCATGCTCAGAAATACCAGAAAGATTGATGTTCGAATTTCGACTTGAAAGTTTCCAAAGGGACAAACTTTCACGAGAGTAGTTTATTGTGAAAATTTCAAGTCTTTTAATTTGCTTCTATCTTGAAATAAAAACATCAAATCTACCCGATTTATATGAGCAAAGCAAAATTCACGTTATTACCATAGTTATATTTTAGGACTGGAACAGCAACAACATCTGAAATATTCACAAAAAAATTATTCTCGTAACGACTTGTCTCTATGCAACGTGTCAAGTCAAAATTCAAAAACTAGTTTTTCTGTTATTTTTGTATTAATTTACAAAATACCATACAAATGTAGTATCTGCGCAGCAATGAGCTAAAGGCACGAACTCTTTTCAAGATGTTCATAGTTCATTTGGGTCTACACAACCTTACATCAAAAGCAATTTTTCAGTAGCAGGATTTCCCTTGTGAGATAATTTGACTAAGATACGACTGTCGAATTCTATTATGACTTGCTACTCTATTTTCATGTATATACGAAGCTTGTATTAGATGGAGATAATCGAATATCAAATTCAATGAATGCCAAATTTAGCATTGGCATATGCATTCGATAAAGCTTTCAAATAAATCAATGTCACAAGAATAATAGAATTATTTTCTGATTAAATTTTATTTTTCATTTTGTTTTATTTCTAATAAAAATAAGAGATAAACAACTTATTTCATTTTCATAAGAAACTATAATGCGTAAATCTTTAACAATGCTTAGAAGAATAAATCGAAATGATATAGAGTCTATTGCTAAAACAAGTTTTACCTTCCACTTTGATTTGGAACATAACTAACATGTTCTTCAGACATATTTGTTTTAGAATTATGCCAAAAAAATTTCCTTCTTTGTTGTTATTATTATTGTGTTCAATTTCTTTTTTCATAGGATTAAAAAGGAACCACTTATTTAATTAATTGTGAAATATAAGATATTTATCAATGTCTGACATCTATTGAATGATTTTTTATAACTCGAAAGTATGTCAACCATCCATTCTTTCTGTTTCTCTCTTGACGAACGAAGAGGAAGACTATAAAGATTAGGATGTCAATTTTTTTCTTTATCAACTTCACTTGTTGACTTCAATTTACTTGTCTTTAGTCATTGTTATTTTTAATTCTTTTTATATTTTTTTTTTATGATTTTAACTCAATCGAAAATGGCTAATGTCGATGAAGGAACACGTTGGATACACTCAGATACAGACCTTTTATCAGGTCACGGCGTTACCTATAATGTCGATGTAATAAAGTTATTTATATTTTATTGCTTATTGAAATCTTTTTTTTCAAGTATCTTGGCTCTGTTGAAGTACTATGTTCGATGAAATCACTTGATTTTGATAGCCGTACACGAGTTGCTCGTGATTCTATACGTTTAGTATGCACAGCAGCCGGTGTTACACTTCGGGAACGACGTAAAGTAACTAGATCATACTTTTTTTTTAAATAATAAATGTTGAATTCATATACATGTTTTAATTAGCCCGATACATTTTCAAATGATCAATCAATGATTTCAACACAAGCAAATTTAACACATAGTCATACACCTGTTCAACTAATAATTAGTACTGATGCACTTGTACTTAAACGTAAAAATGATTCTCAAATACTTTGTTCACATAGAATGGAAGGAATTTCATTTGCAAGTGCTGGTGAATATGTATGAATACATATATTTTTTTGTTACCTGATTTATCTTTTGTTGTTTTTTTTTATTTTAGGATACAAAAGATTATATAGCTTATGTAGCGAAAGATAATATGAATAAGAGAGCATGTCACGTACTTTCATGTGAAGCAAATGAGTCATTAGATGTTATTACAACTATTGGACAAGCTTTTGAACTACGATATAATGAGTATATAAAAACACAACGACAAACAAACGAACAACGCGGGTATTTAAGAGTATTTCAAGGTCATATTTTTTTATTTGAATTTTTGTGTTTTAGATCGTTTAAAACATCTGATCATGATCGACCACTTCTACAAGTAAAATTTAATTTTTGCTTCTTTTTGGTTTTTAAGAACAATACGAAGAAGTTATATATTTTTTTCGTTATTAGAAACAAGATGACAATCAGAATCGTTTTCTTTCGAACAATATCAATAATCAGCAACAAGAAATACAGGGTATATTTAGATTTTCTATTTATATGTAAATGATTATTGATGAGTTGTAGTGCAGACATGTTCTTTTTCTTATGTCAAGTTGCATAGTTCATGGTCATTGTCAGATAAGTATTTGCTATCATGGACAAAAATAGTTACATATCTGATATATGACATTCAAATGTGATGAGAGAGTCATGAACACGTCCCATTAAATCTAACATTGCAGACAATCTATTGTTTCTCAATTGCTTTTTCAATAACCACAGCATATGCATATATAGACAGACAAGTTATATTAAATATATATGAAATAATATGCATAAAATGAAAGAAAAAAAAGCAATCGTTTGAATAAATGACTACTAGTATTTTTTATTACAATATATGCAAATTATTGAATTACTACGTCAAACGTTGTACGAAAGATAAATGTTATTACTCTTATGAATAACAGTGAATTTTTTTTTGAATTGATTTTTATGTTTTAGGCAGATGGAATACAGTGAATAATGAGGATGTTTACAAAGAAAATTGGTTTCATGGAAACATTAGTCGAGAAGAGGTAATGTAATTCTAGAAAAAATTAAATGGCAAAGTAGTTATGCTATGACTAATAAGACTAAATGTGCCAGATCAGATTGGAGTAGTGTTTTATAATTCTGTAAGAAAAGATTTCATGAATGTATGAAGAAAAAACTTTGATTTTTTTTAAAGTTTACTTGATAATAGAGATGCATTTTGATTGCTATTCTATATATAAACATCTAGATCAATAATTTCGGCGGCAGGATCTATGAATTTCCGGCAAGTTCTCACCATAAAAAGATGTTGTTTCCGACCGGAAAATGATAGAAATTTGGATGTCGGATTCCGGTGGCCGGATTTTTCAAATTCCGGAAAGACCCAGTCACCGGATTCTTATCTTTTTCTTGAGTTTTCAGTCGAAAATGGCTCGTGTTTCTCGGTCTGAACAATAATAAGTTGAATATTTTTGTTTTGTTCAATAGAATATATATATATATTTCAGAGACCATAGAGACATTGAATGATTAATGAAATTTTCCGACAAAAAGAGAATTTTTTTAAGATACTTGTTCACATGAGCAGAAGGTCGATGTTACCGTTCTCTAAAAACAAGAATGAATAACACCGCATGTGTCTTATAATAACGATATTAGAATATAATGAATGGTTATCAACACTAATGAAATTGAAAGTTAGATTTGTTGCCTAAGCAGTATAAATGATGGTATATGCTGAATAATTGTTCTGGGTAAATATTGGATTTGATTTTTAACAAATTTTCTTTTGTTGGTTTTGTTGTCTATATTTAAATTATCAAAACACACGACAAACTTGATAAAAAAAATTCGATTACAGCTGATTTAAACTAAAAGAAATAGATATAAAACTCGGAAAGAAAAGTCCTTTATATTTCTAATTAACAACAAATGAAATAGAGCAGTCAGCAACAACTGAAATGTATACACTACAAGAATTGTTTATTTGTTTTTTTTACGAGTAAAAAACAAAGTATTACAATTTTCTACTTATTGTATTTAATATGATTTTATTTTGTAGACGCTTGTCTACCAACCGAATCTATCCAATTGATAATTTCTGTTTGAGTTCATAGGTACGACTTATAGTGTTGATAAAAGTTCTGAAATGAATCGTACCATTACGTCTTTCCTCTCGCAGTACGATCAATTTACCCAACTTCTAACCTATTACAGGATATCGCGAGAAAAATCGCAACGAGAACTTTTGACTTGAAAGTTTCAGTTCAAATGAATTTTTCCTTTCTGAGATAACACATTTGCAATAATAGCGTTACTTTCACAAAAGTGCTCGAGAAACAGCCTAGTATTTAGGCATACGATATCTTTAGAAGAAATTATCCATTGGAGCTAAAACTTTCAGAGTATCATACAGACTATGAAAGCTATTGTTATGGAGAATTTCATATCAAAACTTGTTACGATTTTTTTTTGTGATATCCTGCAGCACAGGATAAAAGTCCAGTAAAGTGATCATCACTCAAGAAGAAAGGCTTCATCGCACGAATACTTTCACGCTTTTTATCTATTCTATGAGTCTCACCGATGAGCTCGAACGGAGATTATCAGTCGGATGAATTATTCCGTTGTAAGGGAATGATTGTTGATTGTAATCTTCTTTTCAATCACATCCATTCTAATGACACAACTTTTAAAAATATTTTTGTAGTTTCAACATATTTCTATTCGGTCTCGATCTAAATCCTTATATCAATTTTGACATACGATTCTCAATTTTCTAGGCTGAACGTTTATTAACTCATAGTGGTGATTTTCTTGTACGTGAAAGTGTAAAAATTCCTGGTCAATTTATTTTATCAGGTCGTTGTCAAAATCAATTCAAACATTTACTTCTTATTGATCCTGAAGGAGTTGTAAGTACAACAATAATAGAAAATCTTATTCAAATTCTTTTTATATAGATTCGTACCAAAGATTATGAATTTGATTCAGTTCAACATCTTATATCATATCATAAATCAGGCAAAATTCCAATTGTATCTGCTGACAGTGAACTACTTTTAGAAACACCTATTTTACGTGTTAGATGAATATAGTTTTAGAGTTTATACATAGATATATATATTTTTTTTTTGTTTTGAAATTCTTATTCACATAATCCTAAATATTCCAGTTGCCAGCGAAACTATTCTAAAAAAGAAATAGTTTTGAGATTATGTATATTTCTCAGGTTTTCGCTCGTATGTTGTTGTGAAATCGAGCAGCACTCTATATTGATCTGATGACCTTAATATTTAGTTTTTTTTTTTTGCTTCACAAATATGACGCAATTTATTTATCAGAACAGTTTGCATTAGATTTTGTGCTTGACTTCATATTTTTCTCTTTTTGTGACATTATAAATTAATGGAAAATTTTACCATCTAGACTTATCAGTCCCAGGTTTTTTTTTTTGTTTTTGTTTTCGATCATTTTATTTATCGCTACTAACTATTTTTTTTTGTCTTCTCCTTTAATTTTTATGTATCTATTCATAAAATAGCATTGTTTTAATTAAATAAATTCGTTTTTTTTTCGATATAAAAGATGATCATAATCACCACAACTATTATTATTATTATGTTTAGTTATTGATTTGATAGCAATTTTAATTTCAGAATTTGTTATTAATTTTATACGTGAATTTTCACGAGAAGTTTGAGAATAATTATCATTTGATTGGTTATCCTCAGATTGTTCATCATCATCATCATCATCATCATCATCATCATCAATAAAATAATTTTGTATATCATCAATTGATGTTATCGGTAATTTTTTATCAAATCGTTTCGTATATTCCTCTATTGTTTGAGGAATTTCAATATCTTCTAATTTTGCTATTGCTTTACTTTTTTCAATTAAACGACTAAGATAAAAAAAGAAAAGTGTCCTTTGTTGCTTCGATTGAAATAACAGGTGGCTGATAAAAAATAAAACACTTTCATTTTCTTGTTTTTTTGAAGACATTGTGCCAAGCTCATTCAATAGAAAGTTTTTCGCTCTACAAAACTATCGATTTCGTTCTTCAAATAAGTTTCTCCTGGCACAGAGAAGTCAAAAAGATTCACAGCTACTCATGAGGAAACAACTCTAAGTTAAACTCATCGAGTTATGATTGGTTTACTAAATTTTTAACCCATTTTTAGGTACTCCTAGGAAGATCAAATAACGGAGTTTTCATCCAATATTTTGTCAATATATGCGTCTAATCACTGTTAGAATATTCTGAAAGTTTCAGCTGAAGAAAATGTTTCTTCGTCGAGTTATTGAATTTTCGAGTGAATTCAATTTTTGTGACATGTCTGTGGGAAAGAGCTATTTTCGGAAATTCAATATGTTGACGAAGAAACATTCTTTTCGGCTGAAACCTTCCGACTATTCTAAAAGCCAATAAACCTATCCATAGGCAAAGTTTAGGATCGAAATTCCGTTATTTGGTCTTCAAGAAACTACTTAAAAAATGCAAAAAACATCATCTAAACCAATCATAACTCAGCGACAAAGGCCTACGAGAACGAAACTTTTTAGGCTTTTGCTAGTCTTACAGAGACCTGCTTATGGTTCTGCCATGAACTCAAATGGTGAGTACCACTTGAAGTAGTTCTCTTCTCAACACTTGAACTACGATTCTCATAAAACAAAACAATTATGGAAAATATGCTTAAATAACGAAATTCGAAACATTCTGTAAGATTTACTTAGAAATAAAGAATCTCGCGATGTTTCAAAATTTTGAGAAAAAAAGATTTGAAAGAAAAGTTTTTCAAGCAAAAATTAGAAGAAGATACAAAGGACTGATTCTGTCGGCTCTAGATCATTGGAGGCAATCTCAAAATTTTCGTTCGTCAGTGTAAATGCTACATCATTTTGTTCAGAATTAAAGTTTACATTCAATGATATAACGTTAGACTGTCCACAGAGTACGCTAACTTTCGAAAATACTAGTTTCGACAGCGTATTCGAAACAAAGTACTGTCAAGTGTTAGTTCCAAGTCTTTTGCACCTCAACGACATCATTAATAACGTAGATGAATTGTTGAAAGCAAAGAACATAAATTTTCTATCTATGGATGCTAAATACTTTATATCTAGCATCGAAAATGATGAACATAAGCTTGTGCAAATCATTGAATATTCGCGGAAAATAACAAGAGATCCCAATTGAGTAATGAAGTAGTCGTCAATCTTTCTTATTTCTCGTCGATAAGGAAAACTTATTTAAAAAAAACGAAAACTTCTCTACTGAATAAACTTGGAATGATGCTTTTGAACAATGTCTTCGCTGTTCAAAGATGGAAAATGAAACTGTCCCATTGTTTTATTTTTTTTTACTCGAGTTTTTCTTTATATGTTGGATGATTAATTGGATCTTCTTTATATTTTCGATATTCAATACTAGCATCAATATTAGCTGGTGATGATGTATTAGGTTCATTAAGCATTGATATAATACTTAATAGAATAGATCGAACATTTTGTGCAACACTCCATCGTTCACATGCTTTTTCACCACTACGTTCATCTTCACCTGGTTCATGTAAAATTGATATACATATATTTCCATCGGGATAAACATTGGGATGCCATATGTCAGAAAGAAATTTTAATGCTGGTGGTCGATATGGATAGTCAAAAGGAAATTTAAGTATAGCTTTATAATAGCCACCAGCAAAAAGTGTATCTGGTGCGCCGAATATTCCAACATGCCAAGTAAAAAAATCCTTTTGATCTGGCTCAACAATAAATCCTTCAGGTGGTTCTTTAATTAAATCAGAAAGTTCATTTTTTAAAATTTTCAATGATCCATGTTGACGTTGATCATAACTTATTATTGATGTATTATATGATCGATGGTGACTATCATGATTGCTATTAGCCATAAATGAATAATATTATAAATAGAAAAAAAGTGTTAATGTTAAATAAATACCAAAAAATAGAAATGAACAGAAAAATGTTTTTGGTGACGAAAAAAAACTATATCGTCGGCTCTTATTTTTTTTTTTTTTTTTTTTTTTTTTTTTTGAAAATGACAATTGATGTTAAATGGCGGGCAGGATTTTTTTGAAAATGTTTATTTGTTATTGTTATTGTTATTACGTGTCTTTCATTTGTATTCTAGATTGATACATTTAAGTCGTTATGAACAATCGACCAGAACAAAAAGAGGTAAATTTATTAAATAAATCCTGTAGGAGAAATTCTTTTTCTTTTTTGTATTCATAGTTATGTCATATTATATAAACTTAACACTCCCATTTTTATATAATATAAGAAAGAAGTAAAAGTACTCTTCTTCCTCTCGTCTTGATTATCCTTTTCCGCTTGTGGCAGAGTTCAATCGGTCAAAATGAAGACTCACGTATTTATGTATATTAAACATCAGTATGATTTTTTTTTTGGTAAAAAAATAGTAAACGACAAATAAGTGCAAACTAACAAGATAGGCATGTCCATTGATTAATAAATACTTCGATTTTCTTAATTATTCTACTTGTCGCTCCTCTATGTTTGATGCTTTCGATTTATCATTATTGTGACTAAGTTAGTGTCAATTAATAAAAAAAATATATTTTTTACGCATCTATTGCAAATAAGAGAAAAACAAAAAGAATGATTGGAATGTCATTAATGATATGGATCGCTTCTTGTGTACCATCGGTGATGTCAGTATAGATTACCAATAACATAAAATCAAAAGATTAGATCAAACAGAAGAATGTCCGTTTGCTCTGCTTTTATTTTTATTCGTAATTAATTGTCATCAATCAATTTGATGCGTGAAAAAAATAATTGCAAATCATCTCCTTTTTTATTTATTCAATTAAAATTTTTTATTTTATTACTCAACAAAACTCATTTCATTTGATAAGCAGAAAGAAAATATGATACAAAGAAATCCATCTTTTCCGATGGCAGCTTCAAAAAAAGTGAACGCCTAGACACTTCATTGTGTGCACGCATGCAAGCATGCAATCGGACACAATGCGGTGAAAAAAATAGAATACTGGAACAAGAGAAATTTGAGTTATGTACAATAGTAAAGAATGAAGAAAAAGAGAGAGAGAGAGACAGAGAAAAAGAGAACATTTCTATCGGCTCAGATTTTTTTCCTTTCACCTGTGACGAGAAAGAAAAATAACATAGGACAAGAGAACGAGCAAGTCAAAGTCGAAATAAACAACGTGTTTTTCGTCGTCGTATTATGAATCGGTCTGCTTCCTATACTTGAACCTTTTTTTCTTCCAAAGAGAAGCACAAAACGTTGTGCGAAAAAAAACGTGTATCTATTTATATGCACGTCTTTTTTTCATTACGTTACGCTTGCTTTGCTTTTTCTTACCTTGTCTCAATCGTTTTCTCTTAATTGTCTAATATTGAAAGAAAAACTAGAAAAAAGGTACAAATCATAAAGTAAGCGACAGATAGACACCAAGAACAAAACTATTATGGCTACTGACGTATTAGATGAAAATCGCTTTACAAGTCAATGTTCTCTCTATGAACCTGCTAGTCATCGGTTATCCACAGATTCAAAACGTTACTCAACAACAGAATCGACAATACCATTAATTCCAACAAGATCGAATCCTAGACCAATGAATACTTCACATATAAAACAGTCTGTCTCAACAAGTGCGCCATCAAATCCTACAAGCACTAATTCCATTCAGAGTCGACATTCAACTTCTAATGATTTCTTATCTTTAATTCGATCAGTTGCCATGAAACCTTTCAAAACATCATCCGCAGTAAATACCGTGACTGAAGGACAAACAAATAATGCTATAGGTGGTAATCATATACATGATAAACCATCGGTCAGTCTCGTAAAATATCGTCCATTAAGTGACAATGTCAGCGATCAAACATTCTATACACAATCAACTCGTGTATGTATATAAGATAGAGAAAGTATAATGGTATGTGTGTGTATGAATGTCAAAAGAAATTGTCACTCTTGACAATCAAAACCAAATTAAAGAGGGCATCAAAATAATGTGCTACTAAGCTATGGTTTCTTTTTGTAATGAAAAATCTTGGAAATTTGAAGAAAGAGAATAGGGTATTTTTAATTTTGAAGCGCAATTGTTAATAGTTTATTTTAATGAATTAAAAAACGATTGATCTGAAAAGAATTTTTCATTAAAATTAATTTAGAAAAATGTAATTCATTAGATTTTATAGCTGTAAATTATTTGTGTATTTGCTTCATTTTCGAACTTTCAGTAAATATTTAGACGCAATTTTCTCAAATTATGCATGGTAATTAATTCGCCATGAATCAGTTCATGACTCCTAAAAATAAAATTAAAATTAGTATTTTCACGTCTTTTAATTTTTTTTTTTTTCGATGATTTTTAATAAACTTTATTCAAGTATAATCATTATTAATAATTATAATAATCTTCTTAAAATTAAGCTAGAAAGTCATTATAGCTATTGTAAAAAAATTTTGAAAGTGAGTATTTTTCAGAGAATCATTTCCATTCAAATTCATTCTGCGAAAGAAAGTACTTACCAAATTGCTAATCATTGTTGTGTGTTATGTATTTATAAATCGGAGAAAAATAAATACATGTTTTGAATACTTTATCTGTTGTTTTTTACAAGAAAGCATATTCTGCGGTATAGTAGGCCTTTCTAGGACAAAGAAGAGTGTCAAATTTTATGTTCTGTTGAATAATAAAAGCCGGCAAAAAAATGAGTGAGTTTTTCGCGGAAAAAAAGCGACAGACGCCGGTGATGTTTGGTTAAGAATCAATGTTCTTTTCGGCGACTACTACCTCGTGTAGGCTATAAAAAGCATAATAGAAATTTGCTAAGTCGTAATATAGCATAATGCCGTGTAGTCCATGTATGATTATCGAATATGATGTTCATGAACTTCTTCTATCAGTAAACAAATCAATTAATCATTCTTTGCGACAAATATTATTTGACTTTTTCTTTGTAGGAAACTGGAAATTTTCTTAAACGTATGGGTTGGCCAGTAAATTCATCTACCGACGAAGCACGTGTAAAATGGAAAATAGCAATGAAATTTTTAATTCCAATGAAATTTGATGTTAATCGAGCAATTAATTTGTATAGAGCACATGAAGTTAGTATGAGTACTTATGAAAAAAACTTATTTGCTAATTTTTTTTTCTCTTTTTGCTCATTAGAATGTTCGTAAAATTGAAAATCTCGATCGTATTTGGATTAGTAATCCTCATCTTATTCGTGAAATTCAATCGAACAAATTTTTTTCTTTCGTATGAATTAAATAATTCTATTGATATAATATGTATATATATATATTTCTCTTGTTACATTATTAGCGATTATTACCAAATCAACCATTGAATATTTATTTTACAGCAGCACCTCTTATTGATTTTGCATCAATGAATTCACTTTCACAACAAGAGCGAGAGTTAATTTCTCTACAAGCATTAGTTTGTCAACTTGATGTTGCCACTGAAAGGTTAGTTTGAAAAAAAAAACTAATTAATGAATTATTTATTTTGTTGCTATTTATTTTAGTGCGGAAGTTCAAAATAGTGGTTTAAATTTTATATATGATATGCAAAATTGTTCAACATCTCAATTTGATATGAATCTCTGTAGAAAAATTCTTAAACTTCTTCAAGTAAATTATTTTTCCTTTAGTTAATATTAAATAGATATTTGTTTTTTTTTTGTTATATAGGGTAACTATCCAGCCATGGTAAAAAATATATTTATTATTTCAGCACCAAAATGGTTCAAAATAGCCTATAAGGTACTCTCAATTTTTTTAAGTCGCAAACTGCGTGATAGGGTGAGAATAACACAAATGAATATTAACTTGACAAAAGAATTCTATGTAGAATATATTCGTATCACATTATCGCACGCATGTTCTTTTCTTTTTGTGTCTATAGTTTGTTATATTCACTCTTTACACATACATTTTCATTTATATATGCAAACTGTATTAAATTATATTCTCATTTAATATTTTAGGTAACAATGTATACACCAGATCAAATGCGTGACGTACTTATAACTCATTATGGTTATCTATTAGATGATGTACCAATATCATTAGGTGGTTCATTGAATCCAACACTTAGTGGTAATACTCGTTATCAAACATGTTTATCAACAGTAAATGATTCTCAATCCATATGTCATTCATATTATTCATTGGATTGCCAACCTATAACAACAAAAACAACAAGTAGTATTAAATTTATTAAAACTGATTATCATCATCATCAAAATCAAGACACAGCATCAATATTATCTTCAACAACAACAGCATCAACAACAACTTCACCAAGATCATTAGTTGCTATTGTCACATTAAGACGTCATCATGAATCATCATCGTCATCACAAGTTCGTGTTCGAAAACGTGAATCATCATCATCAAGTAATAGTGATAAACGACGACGATCAAATGAAAGTCTTATTGAAGAAGAACCTCCAATTATGAAATCATTAACTTATATACCACAAGAAATATCAATCGAGTAAATAATGAATTAATTCGTTTTTGTTTTTACAGTATTGAAAAAAAATAATCTCTTTTATTCGCATCGGAGTCATGCGTGGGCTGAAAAGCATACAGTATAAAGTAGAAAGAAAAAAAAACACCTAGTAACAGAAAAGGCAAACATGTCAGTAGACATTAAATATCCTTACTGTCGATTACTAATATCTTTCTCGCGTTGTTTTTTTGTGACAATGGCATCTAAAAATCAATGCAAAATGACATGGTATGAGAACATATTTATCGATATGTGTGAACTTTTAGATCAGATTTAACTAATGTACCATTAAGATCAGTTCGATAAATCGATTGTAGGTACACATGTGTACAATGTTTTGGTTTTATGTCATTGATACGACAAGTTTATCTCCATTATGTATTCATTCCTGATGAGTGTCATCAACATACAGACTAGCGTATAATTTGTATTATTGGAGAATAGGTAGACAGAAAGAAAAGAGAGAGAGAAAAAAAATGAGAGGCGTCTTCTTTTCTTTCTTGCGTTCCTGTCCATGCTCCACTACCTCAAGCACACCCACACCCTCTCATTTTGCTCGTCGCTCTATTCGTTTAGTAACTATTAGTTCCTTTTTCTTTCTCTTACTTATTGTCGTTATTATCGATTAACTTGGTATTTCTCTCAACAATGAACACTTATCCTTCTCAAATACTTTCATCTATCTATCCATATCCAGTCATTCGTCAATATCCTCTACAATCTAACTATTATTCTTATACTGAATATCCATCATCTTCATTGTTATCACCAATGCCATATATTTCGCCTGTACGTGATCAATATTCTTCATCATTAAAATATTATAATGATGATGATGATGATGCTTATTTTTCTGAGTATCATAATAGACACCGATATTCGCGTCATTCTGATCAGTGGCAATATTCTGATAATCAAAAATCAAATAGAGCGCGTAATTTTTCAAGGTAAAAAAAGCAGTAAAGCTATAGTTAACAATATCCCGCATATATTTGTACATAAAATATTTTTGTTTTTGTATTTTTGTTCTATTTATAAATTTTTGTTTTTCTTCAAATTTTAGTCAATCAAAACAACAAAAATCATCAATATTAAATGAAAATCTATTTTCGTCATTAATTAGTCATCAAGAATATGTTGATTCTCAAGCAAAAACTAGTATGAGTGAAAGTGAAAATCGTGAAAATGGTGTTCTTAAACGTGATATTAAGCGAACCACAAATAATTTTTATAAACCATTAAACGCAATAGAATTTTTAGCTAAAACACAAGCAGAAATTCGACAAGAATTTCGTAAATTACCAAATCCACCAGCTAAAGATACACATACAGCAAAGTAACAAAAGATATATAAAGAAACTATTCGAATAAAACTCATTTTCTTGTTTTTTTTTAGAGAAGAACGAAATCTTGATAAATCTCGTTATCGAGATGTTTTACCAGGTGAATCAACTCGTGTTAAACTTCAACCTGATGATGATGAAAAAAATGATTTTATTAATGCTAATTATGTTAGTGGACATAATGATCAAGAAAAAGCTTATATTTTTACTCAAGGTATAACAAAAAAATCATGTTTTTCTATTCAAAATTTTATTTTTTTTAGGACCACTTCAAACGACAGTTAAAGATTTTTGGCGTATGATCTGGCAAGAAAATATAACAATTATTGTTATGACAACAAATATTCGTGAATCAGGTACAATGAAATGTTATCCATATTGGCCAGCACAATCAAAAGATGTTATGAATGCTGGTCTATATCAAATACACAATGAAAAATCCGAAAAATTTGAAAGTTTTATTATAACAACATTATTATTAAGAAAAAAAAATCATGCCGAAACTCGTATTATTTATCATGCACATTATCTTAAATGGCCTGATCATGGTATACCATCAAATACAAAAGATGCTTTATTATTTCTTGATAAAGTTGAATATTATCGACAAATAACATCAACTAAAGGACCAATACTTCTTCATTGTTCAGCTGGTATTGGACGTACAGGAACATTTTGTGCTATTGATATTGGAATAAAAAGATATTTGGAAAAGAATATTATTGATATACCATCAACAGTACATAAAATGAGAACAGAACGTGCTGGTAGTGTACAAACAGAAGATCAATATCTATTTGCTTATTTAGCTTTAATGGATTATATAAAACAACAATTAGCATTACAAGAAAGAATTAATGAACCAATTAAATCATCTGAAACAGATTTGATTGATGTGAATATTTTTATTTTTTTCCCATTGAATTTATTTTTTTTTATTTTTTTATTATAGAAAACCAATGAAGCAAAAATAAAAGATGATAATGGTTCAAATAAAATAGATGATCATAAACGTAAAACATCACGTTCAAAATCAAATAGAAAAAAATCTAATGATCGTGAACAAATAAATACTTTCCCGACAATTAGTTCTGGTAAACTTACAAATTTACTTGAACCTATGTCGTATCGAGGAAAAGCTCTAAGTGATTCATCTGTCTCAACTATTCAATATTTAATACCGTCTACAACAATTACTCACAGTGAACCAACTCGACAACGATCTGTAACAGAACATATCTCATCGGCGCCAGTTACGAGTAGCAATGTACATCATAAGAAAGCTCGTAAATAGTCATTCAATAAACCTATGGAAGACAGCAAGTCTTCTTTTTTCGTTGCTGTATTATGTTCAACACACATAATGTGGTAGTTATATCTTTCCTGTTGTTTGTATTTAACTTTTTTCTTCCACGTGCACGCACAAATTTCATTGTGTTGCTGTCATGTTTTTTTTCTTTTTTTGACATATATGAATATTCATCCGAAATCAAATTAGAAAGAAAAAAGGTAACATTCTCAGCAAAATATTGCTAATCGAATATGTAATCAAACATGAGACATTGTTCGAATATTTGATATTTATCTCATATGACGTTGAATTTTGAAGTATGATGAATAATTAATAAAAAATGAAGGATTTTGCGGACGTTTTTTCATCATGTAAATATTGTGATCATTCACCAAAATAGATAACATCTCTGGAGAAAAATATTTTCTACAAAGTGATGTATTATTATTAAACAAATAAAATAGAATTTGTCATAGAAAAAAACTTCATTATTTGAAACAGTAGAATTATATATATATATATATTTATTTATTTATTTATTGTTACATGTTTTAATGAATATGCTAATTTTTCCCGGTTGCAATAGAGGAAATAATTAATTTCCTTTTCTACATTTATAATGAAAAAGATCTACCAAACTGGAAAATAAATTACCGTTAGATTTTTTAACACATGAAATATTTTTAGTCATTCATTCACGCTTAATTTTTTTGCTTTGATAATTTTTTCATCATTAAAAAACCAGAATCTATTGTGCTGTAAAACTTAGATTAATCTCTGTTTGGGATGAATACAATTATTTTTAATCCGGTAAAATAATGACTTCGTTCTTTTCACATGCAAAAAAAAAACACAGCTATTCTGCATCGATATAATACATGCACAAGAAATAATGATACACTCAATGATACTTCGTAAATATGCCTTTAGGCAAAACTCTTCTCATTGGCCATATGTTTTCTTTCAAGTTGTCATGTGCTATTTATATCAAGGTTTCACTGCTGCAAATTATCAAAATGGGAATTACAAAGGGAAAAAAAAGACTTGTGCCTGTAGATATATATATATCATTTGTTTTTTCTTTAGACAGATAAGAATTGATAATAATGAACATGTCTAGTCAGTTGCATAATCTTTCAAAGATGTTTTATAACCTTTGTAATGTGATCAATTTATTTTTATTATAAAATATTTTTCAGAAAAAAATTTCTCAATTAAAATGATTCACACAAAAATGAAAAATAAAAGCTACTAGTGCAATTCTTGTGGGATTAAAATGTGAAGCACGATCAAGCTTCTGGTGCTAATCATAGAAAGATTTTTTTATTCTATCTATTTTGAGATACATTTCTTCACCATCATTTTACTTAATGCTCCAAAAAAATCATGAGGAAATAGTTCATTTATTATAACGAGACATGATATTGATATACAGTTTGTGATTGTATATGAAAAATGTATATCATGACTTGTAGTAAGGGTTCAAATTTTTATCCCTAACCTCAAAACACCTGTTAGATCGTGTTTCATAAAAACAATGCTATGGCATTTGTAATTTAAAACAGATTTTTTTGTATCAAATCGATATTTGATTGAATTTGATATTTTATATTATCTATTTGCATAAAAAAGAATTAGTATAATTTACAATTGATTCTTTTCGTTGGTTATATCCGTTGTTGCACATTGTTCAATCGATCATCTCGATTGAATAAAATTATATCAAATAATTATCATAGATCTCTCGTACATTCATGTCATTTTGGACTATATTGTGATGACATTTTTTCTCTAAGGTAACTGACGACATCACATTTATATCTATTTGTCTTGATTGTCTTTAAGTTGCTTTGTGTGTCAACGATCTATACAAAATAATAAATTTCTATTTTTATACTATTGTGCGCAAATCATATTATTTGCTCTCCAGTCTTCAATCATGTCATCATTCGATATTTATTTTAGTAGCCTTTGGCATCCTTTTGACCTTTGTTCAATGTACTGATAAAATGACATTGACTGAATACGAAATCAATTAAGTTGCATAATTATATTTTTTTTTATATTGAGTTTATTAATGATGAACGATTCTGCATTGTCTCAATGGAGATCCTTTTATGAAATAACACAAAACAAAACAAATGACTTAAAACAATTTCCAGTTTGAAATGAACTTTTCATTCTTGACAAAAGACCTTGTCTTGTCAGAAAATGACAAAGAATGCTTTACATCAGGTCAATTCGATTAGTACATTTTTTTTGTCTGACGTTATGCTCTGTTATGGAGATAAAACATGACATTCGTAATAGAATTTCAATATCAACAATCAAAGAATCAAGAAGTGATAAAGGATTAATTACACATAAAAATGAAGGTCCACTAGCTTCCAGTTCAATGTTCAGATTAAATAAGTGAAAGATTTGTTCAAACATTTCCCTTGATAGAAACTAATCTATTTCCACAGTTCACCTCTTGACACTGAGCTATCTAAAACATTATGTTCTATTTTGAAAATGGCACTTCAGTAAAAGAACAAAAGATGTTTTTTACTTGAAAGTGTTTTTCCTCAGAAATAGAGCAAAAGAAAATTGTTCAAACAGCTTAGATCTGAGCTTGTCAATCCCTGCGTAAAGATACATTCCGAGTAGTTAAATTTAAAATAATTTTAATAACTATTCATTCATCATTTTAAACAATGGTGACAATGAAATATTTTTAATATTTAATTTCCTTAGGTTGATGTAATTGAAAAGAAACGGTTGCGTTATCATGACACATATAATGAGAGACCCAAAAAGAATAAAAGTCTCCGTATTTTCTCAATATCTTGTTTAGCTTTCACAGATTCCAACTGATATTTTTTTTCAAAAGGTTAACCATTTGACCCTCTTCAAAACAATATACAAATGAATATCATAAAGATAAAGCATTTATATGTTTTCATGTCGAACTATACAGACAATTTGTACTATCAGTTTTGTAAAGCTTCAAAAGTCGTATCTTATTATTATAGCGTACCGAAACCTTATTGCATAAAATAAGGACTAAATAAACGTTATTTGTTTCTAATAGAAGAATGGTTTTTTCTTAGTTTGAAAAAAAAACTTAATGCTTATTTTATGTAGAAAGACTTCAATATGACACTTCTGGAACACACTAATAAAAGTAACTCGTCTATATAGCTCGACATGAGAACACATAAATAGAAGAGAACTATATTTTGTGCTTGAAAGTTGTTGATGTTGCATGTTCATAGTGTTATCATAATAACTTTTTTACTTTTATCTTTGTGACATTCATTTGTAAGTGGTTTTGTAGAGAACTAAACGTCGAATCTTTTGAAAAAAAGTTCAGCTCAAATCTATTAAAATTAGACAAGATATTGAAAAAATACGGAGATTCTCATTTTTTATTATGTTAATACTAACCGAACTCTTGTAGTATTATCGATAATCATCACCGGTCAATTTCGACAATATTGAATAGAGTATTATTGTAAATTCTTTTCTTTTTTTCCTTTTCAATATATATATGTGTATATATGTCCATAATAACCATCTATCTATTTATTATTAAATAAATTTTAAATTAATATAGTTTGTATTTGCTTTATATTCTTTCTCATCAACGACGATTAACTATATATTTTTTTTCACTAAAAAGTTCACTAATTGTTTTGTGTTGCCATGGTCTTGATTGTGGTATTGATGATAGTGGTGGTGGTTCAATGAAATTGTTTTCTACGAAAGTTCGAAAACGATTAAACACTCGTTTTCGACATGATGAATAAAATGATGGTGTTGGTGATGATGATAAGTCTTGTGTTGAAAATGTATTTTGTGAACCAAATCGATTAAGTCGACTAGCTATTGAATCAGTTAATGTTGAATTTTTTCGAAATGATTCACGAGCTTGTTCATCATTTAATGGATGTCTACCATCAAGATATTTTACTTGAAGTAATGTTGGTTCTGATGATAGATTAGCATTACTTTTATTATGTGTTAAACGATAATCAGATTTAACTGTTCGAGCATATTTTTTCATTAAGCATAAAAACGATGATGTTTTTGATACACTGTTTGACATTGCTATTGAAGAAGGAGTTGTTGAACGACGATCAAATTCTGAATCATCAATTGTATTTGATTCATCACCAACATAAAATGATGTTGGAATAGTATTCGTAAATGAACGACAATGAAATGTATTTTCTGAATGTGGAAGTTGTTCACTGAAAAATATTTTCAAGCAAATAATCGAATTAAATGTTCTGTTTTTCTTTTCTATTTAAATGTACACATACGTTTGTCCGGGTTTTTTGTTAGGTAATTCTATTTGTTTTTTAATAATAGTTTCACCATTTGATTTTAGTGGAATTTCATTAGGTTTATTTCCTTGCTCTTGTACACGACCATATTTTTCCATACAAGCACGGTCAAATGCAAATGTACGTGTAAGTGTTGTTGTACCCATTGTTAGACCTGTTCGTTGAACTTGACTTGGATTTGATGATGTACGTTGAGGTGATAAATTAGAAAATGTTGTTGTAATTCGTATTGGAATTGGTGATGATGACGATAATGATTTATTTTCAATTGAATCAAGACTTGTTGTTGAATAATGTGATGAATTTGAATGCTGATTAATTGGTTGTTGTTCAGCTGTTACAGTTGAAATAGCTGTTGGATAATATTCATTTATTTTTCGTATTGTTTTAAGTTTTGTAATATTTAATGATTCATCATCGAATGTTGATAAATGATTTTGTTGTTCTTTTATTGATACATAAGACATTGCTTTCATCCTTTTAGTAAATTTACTTAATATTTTAGCTTTATCAAAAAGAATATCATTTGACAGTTCTTCTATTATAGGTTCAGTCACTTTAGCATATTCTTCAACAGCAATGATTTTTTCTTGTTTACATCTAACAATACGTTCTTCCTTCGGTGTCTAAATAAAAAGAGAAAATTGCTTTTTTTGTTCCTAGGACTATGTGCATCATGTAAATCCAACGAAGTTTTGAATATGCTGAAAAGGAATTCAGCCTTTAACATATTGCTCCGGAGATACTTCAATTTAGGATAGTTTTTAAATGAATACCGTAGTCTCCTCTCTATGAACACCAGGAAAATGATTTTCGAATTTCGACTTCAAACTTTGTACAGAGGCAAGTCCTTGAGATCCTTTCGCACAAAACAGCCACATTTCGTGAAATATATGAAAATTTAGATAAACGCCTGGGAAGATGGTCCAAAGTGGATCTTTTATAAATGATATGATATACTCTTTCAAACAAAAACAATTAAGCATAAAGGATGAAGGCTCACAGAATTTCGGTTGCCAAACAAGCTATTCATAGGTGTTAATTGTTGAATATCTCTCGAAAACATCATGATATAGAACTGAAAATGTCAACATAGTATCTTCACTACATTCCCAACATATTCTGAAAATTTTACACAATTTGAATTTACCTGATCCAAGATCGATTTTTGAGGGGTTGTGAAAGGGTCTTAACGAGCATAGGTTCTTGTGAATATTTTAGATCTTCTCGTTGTTCCAATCTTAGGAGGTAGCTATTGTAAAAGCGTGTCTTTTAAATCGCTCATATAACTCATTTGGATCTACATAACGCATATAGTCCCAACACAAAAGTGATTAATCAGTTGTCAGACGTCTTTCGTGAAGTTTTATTTGACTAACAAGAGAACATTCCCTGGTGTCGGAACGCTTTTCAGTCCGGGTTTCGCGCATCGTGTAGTCCTTAGTGAACTATGTCTACCATAAAAACAGTTTGGGTCTCTGGCATATTCTTACCAAGATATTCAGTCTTTAGTAAATTTTCTCTATAGCGCCCCACTTTTGCAGCAAAGCTATATTTTTGAATTTTGACCTGAAACTTCGCGTACATAAAGGCATCAACTAGGCTAGCTTGCATAGAAAGTTGCAGAACTCTTGAACAAAGTCTCTTCGAGACATGGAACTATCAAGGTTCAGATTCTTTTTCATAAATAATATATATAGTATGCATTTCTTGAAGGCTTCTTGTCGCGGAGAGACTCTGTTGAAACGTTCTGAATTTTTTCACAGAAGCTAGTCTAGCTGAGACATTTATGCACACGAAGTTTCAGGTCAAAATTCAAGAATATAGCTTTGCTGCAAAACTGGGACACTAGAGAAAATTTACTAAAAACTCGATATATCGATAAGAATATGCCAGAAACCCAAACTGTTTTTATGGTAGACATAGTTCACTAAGAACTACAACATGCGTGAAATCCAGACTGAAAAAAGTTCCGACACCTGGGAATGTTCTCTTCTAAGTTTACCTGTGTTGCCATTGGTACAGCAAATTGTTCATAGTCTACATTATGATTGTCATTGCTAATTGTTCGAGCAAAATTTAGTTCTTCTATTTCTTCTTCTAATACTTCTTCTTCTTCTACTTTTTGTACTTGTTCTTCTTCTACTTCCTGTACTTCTTGTACTTCTTCTTCATCATCATCATCTTCTTCTTCTTCTTCTTCTTCTTCTTCTTCTTCTTCTTCTACTTCTTCTTCTTCTTCTTCTTGTGCTTCTTCTTCTTCTGTACCTTGTACTTCTTCTTCTTGTCGTTCAATTTGATTTGGTGTTTCAGCAACTGAACGACGTGGTTGAATTTCAAGAACAACATAACAACTTTCTACTGATGATGATGATGATGATGAACAGCTACTTTGCCTATTACTTTGTATGGGTGTACAATTATCATCAATACTATCAGTTTCTTCGGGAATAGGTTGTGATGTTAATAAATTAAGCCATGATGTTCCAGTACGAGTATTTTCAGTCCATTCACTATCATATATTGGTTGTTCTGGATAATGATTTATACAGTCAGCAGTAGCAAACATATTCGTCGAAATAGTTTTTTTTGTATTCTATCGGTCGATTAAAAATTCATCACTTCCGTGATAATGTTCGTTTTGCTTTTTCTTTCTTCACGTTTCTTTTTTTACGTGAAGACGAGTAAAAGTGACAGAGGTATATATATTTATACATATATATATATATACATAAAGATGATGTAAACACATGCATACATACATATGAACGCTATGAGTATTCGGTCAAATGTATGGTAAGTGTTGCGTAATTTCTTCTCTTCTTTTTTTTGTAAGTTTAAGTCAGGAAGCGTGATGATGAAGAGTACGCTATAAAATTGAGCGAAAAAAAAGAAATGGATGATATATTTGATGTGCACACTTAATCAAAAATGAAAGATTGAATACGTGATAATATATCAACATAGGAATGTGTTGGTACACACGTATAAATGACTAGATGACAACAACGGGATTATTATTCAAATGATTTCTGTCTTTTACTTTAGACATAAGATAATATGTATTGGCTTAGACAGGAATGTTTTCTTTTATTTAGATTAGTAGTGTTTATACAGATAGATATCTTTTATTTTTACTACAAATGCGATTTTATCCGATAATTGAGTCTACAGATTCGAGCTTGTTCATTTATGACGGTATTTATTTCTCAATTGAACTAGAACGTTTACTGATTATTAATTAGAAAACTTTACGAAAAAATTTTTAAAGTTTTTATTATTTTCTATTAAGAATTTAAAAAAAAGACATTATCAACGGTTCTTAAATGTAAACATTTTATTTTATGTATATATATATTAGATGATGACTACTATTATCATGAATTACTATTATTATCATATTAAATGAGTGGCGAAATATTTTTTAAACGAGATGAAGTTCAATGAAAATGTTTTGTTATCCTATGTAAACTATTTACATATTACTTTGACATAAAAGTGAGCAATGTTCAAGTAATAAAACGTTTTAGACTATTTAGTCCTATGAGTAAAGGTCAAAGTGTTTGACTTTTTTTTCCTTTTTTTCTTTGTAAAATATTCAAGAGTTAATGCAGCAAATCGTTTCAAATGAAATCTATTGATTATAATCATTAAAATTGACAAGGATACTATGCTCAAAAGAAAGTAATTTTTTTTATCTGATTAAATATACATTAATATAAATTATAATGAGATTTCGAATATGAAAAGTGTCGATTATAATTTTCATTTGATCCCAATAGGTTCATGACAACCATATTGATCGATAAAATATAACATCTAGAAATCGAGATCATCTCAAATTATAGGTAGTTATTAGTTTGTTCTGAAGTTTCGATAAGAAGAACTATGTTTTCATTTGATAAAATAAAATGAGTAAATGCTTAGGTCTAATAGAAAGTTCTGGCAACGTTGCTCACAATTTTATAAATCAGTTAATATTTAAAGAGGAATATCATAGTTTCACTTAATGAATTCGTGGGATCCAAATGCCACTGAACTAATGATTTCGAGTGAATTTGGTGTAACTAGATGGGCATTCAACTCTATAGATTTATGAATATTTGTTTTGTTGGGTATCGTGAGTTTAACTCGTCGTTACTCAGTGTATCAATATTATAACATCTATGAGACAAAGCGTTTTGCATGAAGGAAGAGAAGATATCAACGATGATCTCGATTTGATCGTCCAGTTGCCGAGCTGACAGATGTCAGTGTTGAACTGAGACGACAGGTTATTAACAATGATCCACATTTAATTTATGATGATATTATAGTTGAGACTTATTTCTCTCTCTTATGGTACAATAAAATAAATTATTCACAAGTGTTTAATGATGAGAAACGTTACATGACGTTGAGTACCTCATCAATTTGATGATGAACAAAAGTAAGAACGAGTTAAAATTTGTCCTGAAAATTTGACGAAACGTCGTGATAAATCATGACGATTATGTAATATTATTACAGATGATGATACATAGATTTATCATAGATAACAGATTGAGCACAAGTCACACTAATGCAAGCTGGGTTAATGAAGGTGACGCCTTTGTTGTTTATATTCTTTAAATCAAATGATTTTGTTTTTATACACAGTGTGAATGAAGAGCGAGACTATAGATTTCAACTATTTTATTGAAAATAATTTCAAGTACGTTTTCAATGAAATTTGGAAGCAGAAAATCGTCATCACATACAAAAGATATTAAATTACTTCATAACAATATGCTCGACCTTATACTCATTCAAATGTTATTAATTATGTAACACAACAAGGTATCAATTTAATTCTGTATCCACCGTTTTCATCACACCTTGTATCATATGAGTTTTTGCTAAATGATTATACCAAGCGTAATTTAACTGATTAAACACATGCAAACTCATTGACTTATGCAGTTTTCAAAATAGTTTGAAGTATTCTAGAAGAAGAGTCTAAAAAAATATTTGACAAATTATGAGAAATGATGAGACTTTATATAATCATTATGGCAACTATTATTGAACATTTAATAAGATAAAATAAAGTAAAAATTTTGTTTTTATTTAATATTGTCGGAACTTTTGATTAATCCTAATTAAATTGATACTTATAATCAAGATCAAGTATATCAATATGAAAGAACATATTCATCTATCAAATTACCAAAGACATTTGTTTTTTTAGTATGTCATTCAGATGAATAGTCCTCAATGTGATGATCTCTTTCACTTGGATTCGTTTATGATTCATCAAATTACAAGATGATATGATACGCCAACCTTCACTTATCTATATGATTAGTCATTTATTTAAAGAATTCTCATTCACGAATGATCATTGGTTGAGCAGAACCCATATAATAATCTGGCTTAAATCAAATGATGTCTTATCGATTGTTGTGAAGATAAACATATTGAATATGAAAAGCGAACAACTTCAAACATGCTATTCATGATTACACATTGTAATGTATTTCTACTGAAATTATCAAAGTATACAATTAAAAAATCAATGCGACAAAGTCGTAAAAACGAAATATATACATAAAATTTTTTATATATTTATATAACTTATCTAAGTTAATAATAATGTCAAAAGTATAATAATTTAATATAACTATAAGACACAAAAACAAAATTTTTGACATTCTTATTATCAAATTTAACATTTTGTTTTAAGAAAATGTTAAATGATAAGAAAAAAGATCAGTTGTTTCTTTTCTTTTCTTTTTGTTTGTTTCATTTTCAAAGATGAAACGATTGTTTCTACTTATAATTATAATTGGTTGTCAAGCTAATAATGATCATTATCAAATAACATTAATGAGTTATAATGTTATGCTTTTACCAAGTATGCTTGTCTTTGAACGTGATCAAATAACTCGTGCTCATTTATTAACTAAAGCAAAATTTCTTCGTTCACCTGATATACTTTGTTTACAAGAAGTTTTTCAAACAAAACCGAGTGAAATATTACTTAATGCATTAAGTGAAACATATCCTTATAGTACACCAATACTTGGTGAAGAAGATGATAAAGATGAATGGAATGAAACTTGGAATGATCATATAACTACTAGTTCATTAAAATTTGTTAGTGGTGGTGTTACAATATTAAGTAAATGGCCAATTGTTTATGTTGTACAATATTTTTATGAAAATGCATGTAGTGCACATCGTTTTGTTCGAACTGGTTTTGTTTATACTAAAATTTTATATGGTAAATATAAACATCCTATACATGTATTTGGAACACATTTACAGCCAAATGATTATCGTGGTTGTTATTTATATGGTGAAGATAAAATACGTGAAAAACAAATGTATGAATTAAATAAGTTTCTTCAATTACGAAATATTTCTTCTAATGAACTTGTTTTTATACTTGGTGATTTTAATATTAATAAATTTAATGTAAAACAATATGAAAAAATGCTTGAAATATTAAATGTTCATGAAAATTATTTATATCCATCGAGTATACCATGTAGTTGGGATAGTTCATTTAATGCAATGACTAATTCAAAACATGCTAATCAATTATTAGATTATGTTTTAATACATAAAAATCATACACCAAAACATACTCTTTGGTATAATCTTATTACAGATCGAATGGCATCAAAACAATGGCATTTACTTGGTAAAAATCATTTATTTTATAATACACGTAATATTCCTTTATTAGAATTGTCCGATCATTATCCAGTTATTGGTTTTTTTAATCAAAGTAAACAACAATGGTCATATAGACCATCAGGTGTTTTAACATATGTTAAATTTTTAACTGTTGATACCAATTTACCAGTTATTATTGTTGATCGTGAACTACGAATTGGAACATCAACAAATCAAACTGGTTCATTATTTATTTTAACAAATAATGGTACACCACGTCGACATCGATGTTTAAGATCAGAACAATATATTTTATTAATTGATGCTAATAAACCGGAATTTTATTTATCAAATGAAAAATTATTTCGAATGAAATACGGTAAAGAACATGCTAATCGATATTTAAAAGTAATTCAAATTGATAATAAATCAACATGTATTAAAACAAATTCAACTATTATTTTCCAATCACGTTTATCAACTGGTTTCTATTATGTTAACAATCAAAATTCACAATTATGTTCATGTATAAATAATAAACAACAAGCTCAATTATTTCGTTTAATTGAAGTTGAACGTAGAAATATTACATGTACTATGGCATATGAAAAATAATCAAATGTTTCTTTTTTCTATTCAACATGTCATAGCTTTTGTGAACATGAATATCTAAGAGAATACTTTATTTAATAAAGAAGTCGATTATTGATTGTATTCTATACAATTTAAATTAAGAAGAAAAAAAAAAGGATTCGACAACTAATTGTCACTTGTTATCAAAATATAGAGTTTAAAGGAAAACAAGTTGCCAATACTAGTACAACTGTTTAAGTGAAGAACAAACTCAAGTATGAAAACTAAGTACAGACCTAAAACACAAAAAAAAACAACAAATGAAAGTTAAAAAGACAAGGATAGACGACAAGA